TTGTGTTTTTTATAGCCAGAAAAGAAATTCAGTGGGACTATTGTCGTCAAGCGTAGTGCACTGTATGGATTGTTTGTCCTGATCAGTCATCCGACGTTGAACCATTGAAACGTTTTATTTTGACCGTCTGTCATCCCAACCCCCATTGTCAGCTCAAGAATAACCTATGCAGCCCCCTACGCATGAGAGTTCGAGTGTTCCAGGTCTGTCCTACAGATGAGTGTGGTGCTGTCTGGCTCCACAAAAACCTTCGACTGTTAACCTGATTTGCAGCATTCATTGGATTAGTCCCCAACCCCTAGGGGATCTTGACGTAACACATTATCGATAAGGGTGCTGAAAACTCTTGGACAAGTCACTATCGGTTGCTTCCTTCCTGGAGCTGGTCGGAGGGTAGTCTTTGAATGTACATGAATCTCATGTTCTGATTAAAAACCAGATTGTACGCAAGTTCTGGGATAGATTCGTCCGAAATTTATGATCTTCACGAGAAAATCACTGGTATCTCATGCTGAGAGTACTGAACAAGGGGTGTCCTCTGTTTTGATTGGAGCGATGTTCGAGATATCGCAGCACGTTTTCTCAACACAAACTACACACGAGGATGCTGAAAACTCTTCCGCAGCATATTCAGCTGAAGAACGGCATAAACAAGGGATTCACTTGAGTCTCCCACTAACACCAAAGTAATTTGCGGATAAGTGTAGTCCGCCAGTTTACTCACAGTTTTGTGTTCAAGCAGAATAATCAGTAAAGTTGACGGAACTGGGAATTCATGCCTATTTGATGAGCTCCGAAACTATTGGAACCGGTCGTGGGCTGTTGAAGAGTTTTCGTCACATGAATAGTACGTTCGGCCGAAAAAAAGTGCTGTGATTCCTTGAATATCGTACCCACTAAAATATGTGAATACCTTTGTGCAGTATGTTCAGTTGAGCAATGTCGTGAACTCGAAATTCAGTCAAGCCTATGATTAACACTGATGTAGTTCGCAAATGAACGTTTTTCGCCTAATAGCAGAGTTATCATCAATGTAGTCCTACGGTTTCACGATTTGTTCATGAGTCAGATCAAACTTCTCCAATCACTAACGCCTGACCACGTAGTTAGCCCTATACAGTCTACGTTATATCCTACTTCATCGAGTGACCAACTAAGTACGGTCGTGTTGTGACGTGAGAACGCCTACCAAAGGGTATGAATTGGGCCTGCCAGTCTACTCGATAAGGTAAGGACAGGACCTGAAGCAGGATTGTACTATCGGTCAGACATACAGAGCTACTGCTTGATTATATGGGACGGCTGATTGGTCAAATATGGCCACTTGCTTGTTCGTTCTTGTCCAGCCGACCGTGACGTTCCTATCTTGACCACTTTCGCTCCTGCTCAGCTGGTCGTTTTTGGTATGCTCCACTCACGCACCTGCTATCCGAATCGTGTGCTGTCCTTTGCGCGACCGTGACTATCTTGACCACTTTCGCTCCTGCTCAGCTGGTCGTTTTTGGTATGCTCCACTCACGCACCTGCTATCCGAATCGTGTGCTGTCCTTTGCGACGCCTCCCTCTTTGTACACATACGTTTCGGTCTGAATGCGTCCCAGCAGGTCGTTATTATTGAAAAAAAAATAAATGCGAAACGTTTGTCGTTGAAGTTTTCTCTCAAAAGTTTGTAACTATAACTAAATCAGATTGTACTTCTTGAGGGCAACTTAGGCACTAAAATACCTATTTAAAAAGCATTGCACCATTTCCCTTTGATATTATGGGTTAAAGGCATATTTTTCAAGCATCTTCAACAGAGTTTGTAATGCTATTTCAGTAACTTAAGCAGGTGTTAACTTTTTCATTTGCAATGACCGAAGTACCGCTGAATCGTGGTTAAATATTCATTTATCGTTTCAATCTGGGTAGCTGCACCACTCATATTCAAATTCCAACGCAACACATGAGGCATCCCATTACACAACCATACGGAAACTACAACGAATAAACGTCAATGTATATTTTTGTAATGTTCTACTAGGTTCCAGGTGAGTCTCTCGAAAAACCAAATTAATTTGCAAATGAGTGTATATTCAGGGACGTATTTTCAGCAACCTTATGAGTAGTACATTACAAAGATGTACATGTATCGCGATATCTCGAATATCGTAGCGACTGAAACATGTGGTTGACTGGTGCAGCACATTCAGTTGCCTGAGAACATCACAAACGAGAGATTCAGCTGGGTTCCAGGTGAGTCTCCCGAAAAACCAAATTAGTTTGCAAATGAGTGTATATTCGGTAAACGTCAATGTAATCATTCCTAATTAATACAGAGATCCTGTTATGCCTTGTCGCGATGTCGGCATAAATTTACTCCCAGACTTGAAATAAGGTGCGATTCATATAACAGGTACGTGCCGATGTCGTGCTTCCGGTAATGCAAGCGCAGTGAAAGGACTGAGTAACCAACTATCCGTATTAGTTTTGTCCAAAGCGTAGTAGCGAGTGTATGACCGATTAGCATGTTATTGAACTGCGTAAAAGCCATTTTTCGCCTAATCGATCCCATTTACCTGGACGGGGCTGTGAGAGCTGGATAAACTCTCAGTCTCCGCAGTCCAGAATGTCGATGTCTAACAGAACGTTGTGGTTCATGGTCTCAGTGTAGTGCGAACAATTTGATGTAAGTAGATGTAAGTAGATGTAAGTGGACTTAACTAACAGTACGGTGCAAAAGATTGAAAATGATCGAATGCTCACAATATTCAATAACCGTTTGCTAAATAGCTTCTCACTTCTTACCCCAGCTGATTGGTCATTGCGATAAGCTTTCACTTCAGTTGGGTGCAAGTGCAGCGGGGTGATCCTAATGTAAATAGAAATACGGAGATACAGTTGTCGCAGAATACTAGCAACTCGGTCAGTCCGCCCACAAAAATCTCTCCTTTTATGACGTGTGAATTCCACAGGTGGTTTAATATGTGCAGTTCACTGTGTATCTTTTGTAGAAGATATTTCACTTTCTCTCTCGGGGCTAATTGTGGACATTGAGTTCCTCGACGCTTCCAAGTATCGCTTTTGTATAAACACTTACTTATGCATGCGCTAGAATTGGCAGAGATATACGGTGATATCCCAATAGAGGTCACCACAGGGAAACATGTATTTTCTCTGCTATGGGAGTAGCCTATTTTCCTAAGGGGTAGTGCAGGGGTCGTGGTTAACACTGGAGACGAATGTGAAATCAATGATGGAGTGATCTCTCTGCGGGAAGTGAAGAGTGCTGTATTTTACCCAGGTCGTCTGTATACGTCTACAAGGAGCGTAGGTTTTCCTGTTGACTTCATTACTACTCATACTGCATATAATAATAACGATAATAAACCGTTCAACAGCAGCAAACTTTCTGTTCATAGGTGCCGGACTACCCGGAGAAAGTACGAGAACTGATGTACATGCTAGACAGGAGCAGTCGGCATCCCCGAGTTGAGTTCGAACAACGGACCCTCCAGTTCGTGCCTTGACAATTGAGCCATCTCGAGTTACTTTAAGAGAATATTACAGGCTAAAGAAATCATATGCATCCCGTCTTCCCTCTTAAACTATGCCAGAAAACAGCAACAGCAGTTCCGTAAATTCGATACACTCAGTTCGATACACTCACTTTGAAAGATGTCGAAGATATTCCTAGAGTAGAGGCAAGTACAAAATAGTTATACTGATTAACACGGCTACAAAACAATCCTTAAAGTGCACCACCCTTTTTACATCCTAACGAGAGTTTGCATTCAGTTGTCTGGATGAAAATAGAAAGAGTGCCGTATTTTCTCTTTGTGTGTTTCACTCCGGAATGCCCAATTAACAATAGTGGGTACTAGGACGTTCTGAGATGGGTCTAGGCAACCAAAGAAGATTTATTTTCAGGACACCTGATCAAGGTATGCATAATTGAAACGTTAGGTTAACGATGGCTCTCAGCATACAATGAATTGTGAAATCGATAAGCAAATTTTACCGGTAGATTAATGGAGTGCTCACCAAATTAGGTCATCCTGTGTACACATCAACAACCATGTGACATTGAGCTTTGGTGCACTTTAAGCAAGGAACAAAGAAAAATAGGTGTTCAGAATGATAAACATATGCTGCATGAGAAAGAAGACAATAATATTTTCAATCAATTGGAAAATGTTTGGGACCGATTGGGAAGTCATCATTTCAGAGGGGTTTGGTAAACAATCGGCGGATTTATTGCTGGGCAACGTTTTCGCTTTTGACACTTCAGGCCAAGTGAGCAAATAAGTAGGTTGATTGGGTTTTAAGGCAGCCAAGGACCCAATCCGTGAGATTTCTTACGACTAGTCGACCTGATCAGTGCTGGGTGTTCAGTCTGATGTTCCTGTTCGTTGTTTGTGGGAATGACTAACATTAACAATAGATTGGTTAGGGGAGAGGAAATTTTTTCATGTTGAACCCGGGTTTTTTGTCCTTACTTTTTCAGTCTAAGACACATTAATGTAATGGTCCTCTTGGGGTCGTTCACAGATTTCGTTCACCTGTATTTGTCAGAGTGCCACCAACCAACAAACAGGAACATCAGACTGAACACTCGAGACTGATGAAGTGGGTTAGCCATAAGAAATCTCACAGATTGGTTCCCTGACTGCCTTAAAACCCAATCAACCTACTTATTTACTCACTTGGCCTGACGAAGCTTTTGTGTCAAAAGCGAAAAGTTGCCCAGCAATAAATCCAAAACCCTCTGAAACATTTCATTTTCTTTAAAGGACAAGACTTTTTTGGTAGAAGTCCACGTATAAAGGATGGAATCTACAAAGTCATTGCGTATTCTTTTTATCTTGATAGTCATTTTTTAATTGAGTGTTGCACTCCAGCACTAGGCCTTGGTAGTGGTTTACAGAAATCATATCACTTTATGAACAATTGTGGAAAATTACAATCAGTTAGCATTGTGGAAATCAGGTGACCCTTAATACATTCCTTTTCTATGTTAGCTCACAAAGTTACGGTGCTAGTTATGGTGATTATGATGATGACAGACAGAGTAGGAAACATACACGACGACCAGTTTATATCCACTCCTGAAGTAATCCATGTTCTAAATTAAGCCACTAATGTTCCAACGCAACAACTGTTTAGGAGATTCAAGTACCAGTCAGAAACTTGTCGTTTTCAACCCATTGTCCGGGTCTTAAAGATACTGTTGGACAAGTAAGGCATAAAAAGTTGGACATGTCTAAGATTTCCTACGATAAACGGGTTCAAAAGTGAATGTCCCTCCTTTTGTCTGTAAAAGTTTGTTTTTCGTTAATCAGTACAATGAACCCTGGGGATAATTTATCAGTGGCTTCTTTTCTTTACAATAAGGTCAATTCGCGCGCCTTCTTTTCAAGTCTAAAACAAACTATATTATTCGCAAAAGTTTTCTCAGTCTGCCCAACATTGGGGTGCACATAGAGAGTGACAGTCTGCTGGAGCATACTCGAAACGACATCTGCTCAGGGAATTCATGGGCACGCCGAGGCGAGACCATCACATACATCACTAGATCGGAGCGACTCGACTTCCTGTAGTCTTCCCCCCATTCACTTGCTGTATTTCCCAAAAGCACTAGATGCGGTTCGCCGCGCACCGCGACTGAGTGGTGTGGGCGCACTCAGTACCCACACGTAGCAATCACACACAGTCACGTTACGGTTACAGGAGGCGTCCACGCGTTTGGCTTTGTCAAGGTGCATATGGCAAAAAAACCTCAAAGGAGAACAGTCGAGCAACATACTAACGCAACAGTGCAGACCCCGCTTTTTTCACCGAACAGAGCACGTTTGGGAGAACGGCATAAGCACACAGTCAAATGTACTGGAACGACCGACTATAGGATATAATGGATCCACTTTGGACATCTTAGGATAGCTCTTTTAGAAAGCAACATCTGTCAAAACCGAACAAACGAACAAAATACGCAACCAGTAATTGGCTCAAACCTCGTCCGAAAACGCAAATCACCTACATTTATGTATCGTCGGCCAAGATATCCATATCCTCCCCCAATAATAATGCACCCCCCAACCCGTGTTTTGCGCACGACGTTTTTAGCTGCTTGAACGAGACTGTAGCCGACTTCCGGTCACGTATCTTGGTTAACTGCTAGTCGGCTAGTAGCTGTTTCACCTCATGAAATAACTCAATGTGTACATTTGAACTACGATCTGAGCGACACACCTAAACGCGTCTATGTCCAAACAACTAGTTGGTATTGTGCCTGCTGGAGAGTGAGCTAGGCGATCGCATGTATCGTGGATTTATCACATGTAAACTATTTCTCATGATACTACACGCCTTGGAAATTAAGATTAGAGTTCTTCTGTGATGGCTGTTTAACGATAATACGGAGAAGTGCGTCTTTGAAAAAAGACACTGGCTGTTCCTCAGTTCGTAACGCCAGGACGGGTACTGAACACAAGAATCAACTGAACGCCCACCCTCTTTCCCCGTCTGGTGATACAGTTAGCATCTGACGATCTCAGTAACATGTGATGTTCGACAATTGAAGACACAGCCCAAATGATTTGCTGAATGTCGCTTTTCGCATCTTTGCCACTTAAATCTGAGCGCCAAAGTAAACTCGTTCTACCATACCAAATACTGACGCGTCCGGTAAAATGTTGGAGCTCACACCTTCACCCTTAAAAGCGTTCAAATAAATTATCTCTCTAAGCTTAGTTACTGGTTGGCTTATCACCACATGGTTTTTATTTTGTAGAATTCATATTCACATCACGCTAGTTTGAGCAGTCCCCCTCATGTCTTGGCACAATTATTCCAGTAAGTGTGCATCAAAGGGAGGAAGCAACGGACTCGAATTTCGGTCTTATCAGAACTCATCAGCAGTGCATAACTTTGGCCTTACCGAGGTTTCAACTCCAGATATCTGACGTGTGAAGCGAATGTTTTACTAATAGTCAACCAGCACCTGCTGCACGCACCTCAATTATCAACTCTTAGCAGGCAAATGTGTCCACGGATGAGAGACGTGATTGGCTTTCCCAGCGCCTCGACTCAGTAACTGTCCTGGTTTTGTCCATCGTTTGATCTGCCTGTTAGGAATCTCAGTCGGGTAACACTCTGGACATCTTTGGACAATTTTCCAACTGTTTTTTTTTCATGATTTAACCGAGCTCTTACGCCCGATAGCAATACGCCAGTCTATTTAGTTCGTCTGATCGAAAGTGATCACGCTGGCCTCAAAGCGGGGACCTAACAAATCACTTATCGCAAAATTACGGTGACCATAAGGTCCCAGGTGCTGGTCGATTGATTCACCGTACCTACTGTTAGATGCAGAAACAAAAACAAAACTTTGCACACAACTGTGGTGGTGAAAAACAAGAGAGTGATCAGAGAATCCTATCCTAGTCCTGGTACCACACAGAACACGCATGCTTAGGTCAGTTTCTGCCACACGTGGTAACTCAGCTACCTAGACACACTTTCATATACACACAAACATACGTACAAATGCGTGCACAAAGACCGGTACCATGCAGTCGAACGACTGACCTTGCAATTTTCTGCTTGTACAACTAAACTGAGCTGCTTCGCCGTTGATCAGATGCGATTTGCATAATTCTGGTTGGATGCTGGCCTACCTACCGATGGAGAACCATATATGGTCCAACTAGAGCTTGTATAAAAAGTGAACACCGGTTACGACGCAGTTGAATCGTGTGCAGAGAAGACAAAACGAGAAAATGGGAGACGAAGATATTTCCGCTCTCGTTATTGATAACGGATCTGGTATGTGTAAGGCTGGGTTTGCCGGTGATGATGCTCCTCGAGCTGTCTTTCCGTCCATCGTTGGTCGTCCACGTCACCAAGGTGTCATGGTTGGTATGGGACAAAAAGACAGTTACGTCGGTGATGAGGCCCAGTCCAAAAGAGGGATTCTCACCCTAAAGTACCCTATTGAACACGGAATCGTCACCAACTGGGATGACATGGAAAAGATTTGGCACCATACATTCTACAATGAATTGCGTGTTGCGCCTGAAGAACATCCTGTTCTGCTCACCGAGGCCCCATTGAACCCAAAAGCAAACAGAGAGAAGATGACGCAGATTATGTTTGAAACATTCAACACACCTGCTATGTATGTCGCCATTCAAGCAGTTCTTTCTCTATATGCCTCTGGAAGAACGACGGGGATTGTGTTGGATTCNTCGCCATTCAAGCAGTTCTTTCCCTATATGCCTCTGGAAGAACGACGGGTATTGTGTTGGATTCTGGAGATGGCGTCTCCCATACCGTCCCCATCTATGAGGGTTATGCCCTACCTCATGCGATCATCCGTATGGACCTGGCCGGGCGTGACTTGACCGACTACCTGATGAAAATTCTGACGGAACGTGGTTATAGTTTTACCACAACTGCCGAACGCGAGATTGTTCGTGATATCAAAGAGAAACTGTGCTTTGTAGCCTTGGATTTCGAACTAGAGATGCAAACAGCGGCGTCCAGCTCTGCACTTGAGAAAAGCTATGAACTGCCTGATGGTCAGGTAATCACGATAGGAAATGAGCGATTCAGATGTCCGGAAACCCTGTTCCAACCGGCCTTCATTGGAATGGAAAGTGCTGGAATTCATGAGACTGCCTATAGTTCAATCATGAAATGTGATGTAGACATTCGTAAAGATTTGTACTCCAACATTGTTCTCTCCGGTGGCACCACAATGTTCCCGGGTATTGCGGATCGTATGCAGAAAGAAATCACCCAGTTAGCACCACCAACAATGAAAATCAAAATCGTTGCACCACCCGAGCGCAAGTACTCGGTCTGGATTGGCGGTTCTATTCTTGGCTCGCTTTCAACTTTCCAACAGATGTGGATATCGAAAAATGAGTATGACGAATCGGGTCCATCGATTGTGCACAGGAAATGTTTCTAAAGTGACTCATATGCTAACGGCGCGAATCTCTGGTCCTGCAGGTGTGATTTTGCGTGTGATATTTTTCTATCCACTTTGCAAGCTGTCTATTTTCTCTTGTCAATCTGTTTCTTTTAAATCCCCAAAAATCCTTTATATATATTGCGTTTTCACTACGTCCAAACCAGATCGTGTGGGGGGAAAGTGTGCGAAATGTTTCTAAAGCCACGAGTTATTATTACTTGGTTCCGCCCTTTCTAACCTAGTATTCAATGTCAAACTATGTGAGCCCAGCTGGTCACTGACCACTTATGATAACTTCTTAGGTTACATGCTCAATTTTGTAGAGATTGTTCACAAGTCTTTGGATGAGCGAAGTATAATAGAAACAGTATTGCTTCTTAACAGTGAGTTCCAAGGTCATGTTTTATCCGTCGCGAGTGATGTACACAATGTTGCTAATGCGAACTCTCGGATAACGAATTCATTCAAGCTAGTTCGAAAACGATATTAGCTTCTAGATTGTCGGGGCTTAACGTAGGTACTCGTTGACATGGGAACGAATAGGAATTTCTTTTTAAACAAATCAGACTGACAAACTACAGAAGTAGCCAACAAATATACCGTCAAAACCGCTAGGTATCGACTGAAGAGAGCAAGTAGAATGGTGAGAGTTTCCTGTGAAAGCAAACAGGATATTGTCGAAAATCCAATCGCATGAAATTGAACTAACGCCCGAAATTCCCGCAATTCTAACATAGCTGTCAGCTGAAAGCAACAGGCAGCCCGACCCGTCTAAATTCTAATACATGCAAAGTATGAGAAAGTATGTAGTTGGATACGATTTACATAATAAGAAGACTGAAGTCATTCTGGTTAGGAGAATGGATGGAAAAGTAGTATTGAGATTGGAATAAATTGTAATTTAGTGAGGATGCCACCGCGGGGAGTTCGTCAAACACCTTACGAATATCAAGGTAGATAAAAATGCTACGCAATCCGGTATCTTAAGCGGATGAAATATAGTTAAAGAAATCCACCCAGCATGTGCCAACTGACCGAGGGACATAAACCCATATTGCCAAGTGCTGAGGGTCTTGTTGATGAATAGGTAATCCGTGACAGGGACTTAACTAAGGCACTGTAGGTTACGGGAGAGTATGCAAGTATGGTGAGTGCCACAAAGGCTAGAACGTCTGTGCATTCTGCACCTCAATGATGTATGGAAGTATCAACAGCTATTTGCGTGATTGAGGTGCCGAAAACGACAATCAAACAGGGACGGAATACCGGGCACTTGACCACATTAGATACCAAAACGCCCGGTGTAAAAGTGAAACATAATAGCCTGTCAATTCCATCTTCCAATCCACGAATTCAGGTGCGCAGTTCTTCTCCAGCAATGTCGATGAGAATTGATCCTATGGTTAAAAACTCTTAGGGCACCCGTCCAACTTCATACCACATTCTGTTCTAAAGAAATATTGCTCAAATACACGGGGCCAACTTTCAGAAAGGTTAACCGTCTTTGAATCTTCGTTGAAAAAGAATCGCAGACCAGGTATCATTTTTGCTATCGACAACAGTACACCAGTAGTAAATGCAGGTGCTTAATTGTCATAAAACTATGAGAAAGGAGTGCCCAGGCAAAAAGCTAAAATGGCGGCAGCATGGGTTACTGATTGGAAGTCATTTGATGTGGTCAGTGCACCAACTGCTTGGTTAAACCCTGCATGTTGCCCTCAAGTTCGCGCCTTATGCATCGGAGTTAGGCATCCCAGTATCAGGTAAGCTTGTTATGACAGATGTGATGCTTAGAAAATCCATGGTTTGAAATAGGTAAGGTAACTAATCGGTCCTAGTATTCTAGAATTCCCTTCTGTTTCAAAATCAGTCCAAAGAATTTTGTTAAAGGAGGACACAGTGACTCAGCTCCGTCTTTCGATCATGCTGATATAGGCTCATCTAACTCATCAGCCCGATGGCGTTTCAAGACAATGACACATTATAACTCTATAAACTGCGACAAGGGACGTAAATTTAAGGATCACTGCTCAATCTGACCAAGTCGAACATTAGCAAAAGGTTGTTGCTGGAAATATTCTGCCCACTGATCCAAACCCAGGTTTCTATTACATATAAATTACCCGGTTTTGTAAATTAGCTGAAACAGCACCTTTACGCATCAACAGCGCCAGCGAATTCCGATTGATGGAATTTCTGGTCCCATTACGCTTCACATGAGGTTGCATCCTAACACCTAGTCAAATTATGCTTTGAGCCTGCTGAGGTACACTGTCTCCTACCAAGCAGTGACATTGACCGCTCTGAGATATAATGGTTTCTAGGTACGCGCACAGAAACAAGCAGAATTTCGGGCGTCGTGCATGGTTGTTATCTATTCCCAGTGATACTAAGAGAGGCTATTCGTGGAGTACTGTACAGTGAGAACCAATTTTTTTGGTTTTGAACCACAAAGATCTTCTAGTGCCAAGCCCGTTCCTCAGGTTCGCCGGAGAACTTTGGTAAAAAAACAACACAACACGAGAGCGCAATAATATCCAGCGTGCTTAGTTCAAAGTGACCAGCAATCAAGGATTGAACCTATCATCGGTAGGAGATACGACCAGTTTGGCTCGACGATTGCTCAGCATTAAGAAGCCAGATAACACGATCGCGTCCAAACCCAGTACCACCGAGAAGCAAGTGATATTAGCCGCAAAATTTCGAATGGCGCTCATAATCATGACTACTACGACCGCCAGGCAAACAAACTCAGGTGACCACAAACATTGAATAGAAGCCGACCATGTGATACCCATCATGTGGTGGATCGAAATCGATTCAGAAGATGGCGCCAAATGGATAAAAGCTTGAACAAAGTGACATCAGCCGACAAGTTGTATCAGAGAAAGCCTATTCACAATAAACTATTTGTCACGCACCCGGTGGCTGGTACGGACGACTGACTTCGATCAACCTGACTACTTGTCCGTTTTATCGTGTCTCCTGCTGGCACACATATGCCTTCGGGTCTCGGCCCCAATGAATCAAATAAAATAAATGAGCGGGAGGTTTCATCGACCTGGGTAATCGCAACTCAGCTGCTATTCGTAACAATGGGCGTCAAAAAGCCACGTGGTTTCGTAGATAATCTACAATCTGGGACAGATATGTGAATAGAAAAAATCTCAGAACCAGGCTGAGCAGTGTGCTCGAAAAAAGAACTAGAGTTAACTCGAGAATATTACGAAAAATCTTCATGCATTAGTAACAACAGTATTGATACCAGTGACCAAAATAAGAGGTCCCAAACTTTTGCCAACTTATTGCGTGAAGCACGACCTGGAAGCCGGTTTATAGCACAATACAAGAACAAATGCGACCACTGGTTCATGAGTGATCCGTGCCAAATTAAGAAAAAGGGATTTAAAAAAGTACCGTGTAAGTAAAGGAGACAGAGGGCTAATGCAGTGAGAAGGGAAAATAATCAATTCAGACTCTTGCAGAATGTAAAAAATCTGGTCATCAAATACTGGTCTACTGTACGAAGGTACACACAGGGAAATGAGCGGGGTTGTTGGCAAAAAACTCTCAAAAATAACCCGAAAATAAGATTGTATTTGGCAAACGTTGGGAGCATGCCAGAACCACAGGCATAAGACTGTTCTAAAGACTAGTTTAAACGAGCATCCAAAGCGGGAAGGGTCGGAGGGAATTATTTCAGTCATCTTGTTGTACGTCACCATCACCGACATCGCGTAAATCGGTATCTTCATGAGGATCCAAACGCTCTTCGTTTCGTGTGGGCTCAGATGGAAGCCAGTTTGCGGTCAAAGTATGGTCAGTCGCAAGCTGAGAGTCGGAGCTCCATCGCAAGCTGGAACCGCGAGTGGCCACAGAGTATAGATCTAAATCTAAATCCGGATCCACAGCTTCTGCTTCGTTCACATTGTGTGACAGAAAGTCACCGACATCGGCCGGGCTAAACGCAGTTGGATCAGCTCCGCTGAATGACGATCTTCGTGCGAATGACAAGCGATACCGAGATTGATCAATGAAAACAGATGTTCTTTCCTGAGGAGTCTGAAAGAAACAGACCGTGCATGTGTCAGTAAAAGCAAGTTGAAGGTTGTACCGTATAAATAAAAACTCAAAAAGCACCTTTAAACTCATAAACCATTCCAATAATCGGAGAATAGTATAACTTTTATTGCGAACACACTATTCCAAGATCTAGCTTATACTCCATTCAGTCAGCAGATGGAGCTGTCGAGCATCTACGAAGATACAGTGATTCTAGTTTCGTTAACCGAGGATAAAATTACTATTGGTTAGAGGCAAGTGCTGTTCAGCACAAAACTGACTGTGATGACCATCAACCCTGGAACAACTGTTCAGATAAACTTGTTCCAGAATTAATCAGCCGACTTTGGTACTCGTACTACCTGTTAGTACCACGATAGCTGTGCTGTTTGCTGACCTCGGCAACCATACTAAATCAGGATGGAATCTATCTTTTTTCAGTTTCTGAGCAGCCGCCCATATACTGACAACAAACAAAGACCGTTATGGACAGTTCACAAATCTGATGATGCACCACGTGATGGGAAACATCGAGCATTTGGAAAGGCGGATGGATTCACTCACAGAGCTACGGTATCGTTGAAAATCAGTGAAGCCACAGAATCTTGCACTTGCTGAAATATAGTTGATTTGTTCCTTAATTATGGCTCCCAGTATTTCTACTAGTGAACGTGGAGTGGACTATTCGGCTCTACAACTCTTGCTCAATCATGCTCTACCATAAGCTCATAAGTCAACTTCAGGACCGGTCATTAAATAGGTACTCTAAGGCGAATGAGAACCTGCCATCTTGGCGCTGCAAACGTGGAAGAACAACAAGATATCGATAAGTTAGGCTAGGGTCAACCAGTTTCAAATACCAACTGCGCATTCCATTGGCATAGATGGCGACGAGATGAAAGCTAATCTTCTTACTGTTCCGATGCAAGTGTGTGAAAATCAGCCAGTATGCAAATACTGGTTTGAAAAAGAATTTGTATTTCGTGTCTTATCGTAGCTGACCTTCCACATATGATTATAGCCCTGAGGACGACCAATCAAACAGCTCAAACGATGGTGAACCAGTGAGTGACAAGTCACGGGAAACAGGAAAAGGAACCACAGGAAAAGTAGCAGAATATCTGACCCAGTTGATGAGATTCCTCGAACAAAGCTGGCAGTAATATCTCTGTTATAACCACACTGTAACTGCCCACTGTGCGAGAATCATATTTCAGCCTGGATCGGGAAAGGATACACTTTACAAAGTATCCTATATTATGTATTACATATATCGTCGGAGAGGAAATTTGTGAGGCGAGAGATCGAACTCCGCAGGATCACGTGGCACAATTTGATATGGGTTCTAAACGTGAAGGGTCCGTGGAGAGTAGCTGAATCATCACATAGATAATTTTTGTCAGTTAACACCAGAACACCAAATAAAAACACCCCTTCGACGTCTAATTCGTTTTCTTATTGAAGCCCAAATGCGAGAACCTACAAGATGAAATAAGTCTATTTGAAGGCTCATTGCAAGCGTTATATGGTGGGGTTATTTTTCCGTTTGGGGCTTGAACGCGAGGTGGATACGGTGGAAAAACGGAATGGTTTCTCTACTACTTTATGTAAATTCACGTACTGATACGTAACTTATCAAAATATTGCCACTGAGGAATGCTGTGAGTACAGCGTCAAGAAGAAAAGGTATATCAAATGCTAGACAGTTTCCACTACGTAGTGCATGCAGATACAATTAATAAGATGTTATCATTGTACAGACATTCGAGCGTAAACCTACAAGGACGTTTTGAGCAGCCTTGCGATATCACACTGTTTATTGCATGCAATGAATGAGGTGGCACACTTCCTCTCTCTCTATCTCTGTTTGCATTCCATCGTTGTTAACAGAAACAGCTCGGGAAAATGAACTGTAAGCAACCCGAAACGGTTCAACCAGTCCATGAGAGATGTGCAACGATGGCTGCATTCATTGAGCTTATTTTTTCAGCTCTGTCAAAGCTGTACCGCATTACTGTGCAGAGCTCTATTTCCAGTGTTTCTGTCTGCTTCAGATCCACCGACTTCTAGAGGCTCTGAAGCATTGGTTTTGATGGAGGGATGCGTTACATCGGATTATTGCGAGTAGGGTGGGTGACACAGAGAGCGAACAGTCCAACAACGACCAAACAGATTAAGATACAGTGTTTTGGTTATTTTGCCACGGAGCATCAAATCACTCGTGTCTGGTTTAATTTGAGGACAGAAATACTACTGCTTTGGCGTGAGTGGCTGAACTAATCCGTTTTGTGGAGCTAATACTACGTCATTTTCGATGCCCAGCTGTTGCAAAATTTTTTTAGCATCACTATACATAAACTAATCGACCGCTTCAATAACCACGGGAGTCGAGTTTCCCGGAAATCAGCAAGTTAATGAGGACAATGACTCGAAAAGCTACAAGCATATGAAACTTCAGATTCGGGAATATTGGCAGCAACAAAATAATTAGAGGTAATTAACTCATTTTGAAACCTTTCAGCGTGTCGAGTTTTACCAAAAAGGTCGCTGGGGTCAAATGAAATTAGTCGTTAGAATATTTTGGGATAGAAAATGGTTTTACGAATACCTGAACTGTGGACGTATTCGGTTGTGTGATTGGTGCTGAAGCCACATTGTTTGAGCCTGAGATCGAGGGTGAGAGCCCACCGAATTCAGTCAGTGTTGGTGTGGAATGCCTTGGAGATCGAGGAGCGTCAATATCATCCAAGGGATCATGCTGCATCGGTTGGGATGAGTTCAGACTGGTAGAATGCGATAGCACTGATGGGGTTGGCTTACAAGAACCGGATGCGATGGAAAGCCTGCGCAAACGTCTTATCAGGACTCCTCTAAGTTCAGCCCTCTCAGCCCTTTCAGCTTGATGAAGTCCGGAGTCCCATTTTCCTGAAGGGTGGTCAGGCTGTGGTGCCTCCTGTTTAAAGGACGTCCGTCGACTTGCCCGCTCTCTTCCGGGGGATAATAGCAATGATGTTTGTAGTCCTGATGTGGCACTTCGGAAAGTGAACTCCTTCGCACGTGCAGAGGAACGATGTTGTGAGGAGGACTTTCTGGTGTCTTCGGGAAATGAGCCACGTCTCAGCCCGTGTAAATCTGAAAGGTCACTCTCCGCTGCATCGACAAATCGCACTGCACCGGCTGATGTAGAAGATAAACAACGAAACGGCCACATCAAGGTAACAACAAGCATAAGAATCAGAACACTGCTTGACGGCTGAACATAAACTTCTAGATCATCTTTCCAATTAAGAATAAAACAGACCAACAAACATGAAACACTGCATTATGGACTTTGTTGACAACAGCGCAGTTGCGAATCTGCATACGGCATGGTAGCTGCGAGTTGCTGCTAGTCCTGTGGTGAACATCCGGAGAATGGAAATAACTATTTTGCCAGGTGTCAAAGAATCACAGCAACATTCCCCAACTTTGGGCTACTGAGAGAGGGAAAGATAAGTCATGATTGTGCAACGAAACTCCGGTGGAACTGAATTGCGTTCAGAACACCTATGGCGGTCTCAATTCCATGAGATAAGTGAATGACGAATTACTAAGAATCCAATGTGGATTGATGTGAAAAAGTGCTATAATGAAATTCCATTCAATAAATGCAGTAGTACCCTAAGAGAATTCCTTCCAAATGGAGGTCACCACCCTTGAAAGGCCATGAAAACGTTGCTTTTCAGCTACACTTGGGTATAAAACCGCCCGAAAAGAGATCGTTCCAGAAAGACTGATTTACAAAACAATTAGGCGTTAAGGTGAGACGGTTAAATCCCAGCCAAAGTCCTCTTGTGTGATATGCTTCAACTGAATGTGCCGCACAAAAGGCATCTCACGTTTTGATTGGTATGATTTTAGAGACATTGCAACATATTTCCTTCATAGGGGACACACTTATAAGGTTAATGAAAATTTCGACAGCCCGCTACCGGTGTTATGCAGAACAGGAGGTCGATGGGAATTCCGGGACTTTGCAAACTTTATGAGCTTCAACGAAGGAGAAAAAGAAAATGGGTTGTCACAGTCTTCAGCAGCTATATGAATAACATCTTCTGTCAAGAAAAAATCCAAAAGATCCTCTGAGGCGTCCCACCTCTGGGGCTTTGTTACGCTTAAAGAGAGTACCAAGTAGCCAAATAAAAAACCAGTGCGAGATTTGTTCGTGTCATAGTTCCTGTATGGCAGTTCAGGTTGCAAACTTTAATGTTATTCAACTGCTGTCATCTAACTGTGTTTATTCGGCTATCAAAATGGAAAAGCAATGCTGCTTTCTACCAGACAACAGCTGAGGCAACCAAGATTTATTCATATTCCCCAATATGGGAACTAATTCTGTGACATCCTTCGGGTGGCGTGTTGGCAGTTTACGTGTACGATAGTTTTGGTCACGAAACCAAATACACGTAATCTGAACGAAGAGGTACAGCTAGAGATGAGTTCAAACCGCTGACCTCCTACATATCGGACGGGTATTCTACCTATGAACTACCGAAGACGCTCGTTGTCCGTCATGTTGAAGCAAGTGACCTTCACAGATGATTCGTCACACTGTCTGAAGGGATAGGAGCTGGCGTCTGTCAGTGCCACTAGCGAACCCAGTGCGTGATTTCCACGGTGGGCCAGATGTCAATATTCCCTGATATGCAGAGGGTGTTAGTGTAAATTGCTAAAATGTAGAGGCAGATTTAGTAGATACTGAGATGAGAAGTACGAGTATGCGTATCATGAACGAAAAGGTCCGCGGTTCAAATCCATCCTCCGGCATGTCCTTTCGTTCAAACTATATGTACTTGAATTTTCCATTTCAACATTTACACAATTCCTTTCTACCTTATGAGAGTTTTTATATTCTCGCAAACTATCGTCTATGCAAACAAATTGATTGAGACTGGTTCGGTATGGAATAGCGACGACCGATGTGTGGAAAAACAAAAGCGCAATATGCCCTGAAACGTGGGTACATCACCTTTGTTCCCTACGAACGTCATCGTTCACATTCAGCTGACGACGGAAGGCTGAATCTCGCCATGTAATGGTACAAATAACCGTTTCGGAATTTCGCTCTCAGATGTTTACGGTCTCCACATCTAATGACCATAAACCCAGCATGCAATGAAACGTTCGAAATGCATTTCCGTCCGGTTTGTGCTTATATATCGCACATTTTCGTTGTCCGATTTTAACTACATATCTCTAGAGAAGGTGGTGTATATTCCACCTTGTGTTCACTTCGATACCCTGATAAAGCCAAAACAGTCGAAACAATAGAACATGAAACCGCTTGCCATGACGGGGATTCCACCACACAACTTGAACAACAACAGCGGCGAAAGCACTGGCAGGAACTCCGTCATGTTTTCTAACAAGTGTGTTCACAGGGTATTCTGCCGTGCTATCAAATTTTTATGGAAATTGTAGTCACTCACGTGGGAATTCACCGAAATCGGCTTGTGAACCTTCTGATCCTATTTTCTTGCCATCCATAGATAAACCACGTTCTGGAGAATTGCTGCGGCTACTAGTTACAGAACTCGGGACCAGGTAGAATGGGGTAGTGAGAATGGGAACCTCGCGGCGTCCAAGATTTCCATCGGGTTCATCTTCTCTTGTGTATTCGTCATTCTCGTTGAGGCTTGGCTCGCTATCAGCGATGACTTCGGAAACTTGAATTGAAGGGATGGTTTGAGTTTTAAACGAAGGATACTTCTCTGATGGTTGACGAGGTTTAGGACTTGTCCCAGCTTGTGTGAGGTCGGTATGCGATCCAGTTGGGCTCGTGGTAGAACTGTCAGACTGTTCGAAAAGAATGGGTGAAGATTTCAAACAAATATGGCCAACAAGTATTTGAGAGTGTATATTAGAAGACGCGAAGGGGTATCTTGTTTTCCAAAAAAAGATTTGATTCCACAAACAGTTTGCACCGACTCGTGTGTGCTCAAAAGAGAGATCTATCAAGTATTCTAGGACCTGAGGTAAACAAAGAATAGTTCCACATAATTATTTACGTACATCGTAATCACCCAATGTTTGATAAACAATTACTCTAAAGCTACAAACCCACTTGGTCGACCCTAATGTCCTCCTGAGAAGTTCCAATATGTATAGCTGACGTTTGCCGGGTTTGATCCTATCCACCTTAGTACTATCCGGTCTATGCTTATGGCTTGATCATCATCAAATCCATCATGAAGACCGATGTCCATGGTTGTATGAACCATACAACTGTTCATCCGTAATCAGCTTGTTCTGACCAATTCCACGGCCGCTTGGGCTAGCAATCACATTCTAACGCGAATGATTTAAGGAGAAGTTAAGAGTTTATGAGAATGACTAAAAGTAGTGACACCCCATTTCTAAACCTCTAACGACTGCTGTAGGGACATTTAAGCAGTACTAGATAAGGTATCGCGTGTCTGTGGCCGAGTTTCCTATCACCGCAAACTGGTATCGGAGCCACACTGTCACGAGTGACGAAAATAACGTTCCCATCAAATGATATGACGAATAGATAGTACTCGGGGCGATACGGGTTGGAAATGTTGGTTTGAGGTGCATGCCAAGTTTGAGCTAAGCAAGTTAGCACTACTGATTAGCCTCTTATATAGGCAGCCATCGCGTCACATGGACTTAGGTTCTGAACTAGTTTGGTCGATCGTTGACCAGTCTAGCCGTGCTGACCAAGTTAAACAGTATTTGTACTGCAGTCGAATCAGTTGCAAAAAGACGAGTTAGACTGGTGGCTTACTTGCATTAGGGACCAACAGATGTTCGGTCCGGGAATTCACTTGAGTTGCTACCGTGTAATTGTTGCTATTAAGCAAGCAGCACACAAGAGATTTCCATTAGACCTTAGTCTAAGGACACAAAGAACACAATAGGAAGTTCTACGTATACCGTAAAAGCTGCCTAATAACACTGCTTACACCTGTATAATACAAAGAGAAGTTGAGTTGTAGGATTATTCTAAGTGTACAACCTAAAAGTATGCCATAACAGTAGACGAAGACTAGCAAACTCACAGAGGTCAAACAGGAAACATCGATATCATCACATATGGTCGTATATTCACGATAGGCGTGATCATGTCCACGATAGGAGGCTCCACGAGGACGGGAAAAAAGGTTTTTTAGTCTTGTGGAACTGTGCAATAGACAAAGAAAGATGGATGAAAGCAAGTAAAACAAACCATGTCTGGCGGTGCGTACAACAGGTGGATAAAAAAGGTTTCACTAACAAGATGGATTCGCTACATTATATATTCGTCTCTAGAGTGGTCTGCTGTTGTGCAGTAATCCCTTCAAAGAGAGGACATCACGGAGAAAGCTTCCCTTGGCTCCTCTTAAGGAACCTCTAGCTCACAAGGACTAATGTGCAACTACAGTAAATAATAACAAACGGAGTAACTGAAACCTGCTCAGACCACTTGTGAGGATAATAATAATAATAATAATAATGCAGTAAGAATATACAAATTCACATATGAAATCCTGAACAACTTATGGGTAAGAAGCTCAACTATCAAAGCGAAGCCGTGATACAAGCAGGACTTACTCGAAAGAATGTCCACTCGTGAAACCCTGACTCGCAGTCCACACTCGAGAGTCCGACTTGGAAGGTCTGTAACGCGATCCACCCTTGGGCACCGGTGATGGTGAACGCTCGCGTGTGTTGTACTGTGCTGCATTTAACGGAGGTTCATGCCTCTCCTCAGATGTGATAGTTCGCAAACAACTGGATAACCTTCTGCGTATATCAACCGCATTTCCGACAAAACTATCCTGGTTTTCTTGTGTCGCTTGGTCACCTGTGATCACAGTACCAAAAAAGGAGAATGAAACTTTAAGTCTGATCAAAAGAAATCGGTTTTCGTTCGAGGACTAGTTCTGTGAGATGGTGCGTAGTTGAAATTCCAGGTAAAGAGCTAAATGAATTGGTAAATTAGCAACGTATACATTCGATTAAACCAGTAATTCGTACCACTGGGGATTTCATAGTTCACTATGTGGTTGGTCCTCACTGACCATACAACGGAAAGTCAATCGCTGAGATCACTTAGGGGTATCACCACATGAATTTCAAACCATCTCTTTGGCAGGTAAAAAACATTGAAAAATATCGACTCGGCTGAATTCGGTTGAATAAAAATGTGGAATTCCAGCTGGATAGGTAAGTTTGGTTCCTTCCGGACGTTCTCTGCATCACAGCTGATACACGTATCGAGAGTATACGTCAATGATTGTAGAAAACTATCGTTGGAGTCGACTCAAAAGATTTTTGGTCCATCATGGCACCATCATCATTTGTTTCCTACAAACCCCATCCAGAGAACTCTATTCACAAAGAATTAGCACATGAATGTTCGTTTCGTCCGACATTTCACAACAGCGAACGTGAATGATCAGGTGGGCACAGACCAAACAACGGAGATAACATAATCCTAGGGAACGTACGGAGACTGACTTAGGAACCCAGATCAGTTGATTATTCAGAGATATTGGAGGATTGCACCATAAATATACACTCAAAATTAGGCAACATACCATCACTTGCAAGACGTGCTTGTCGTAGTTGTTGATCCATCAACCACATGAGGCTTTCCAACAGAACAGCTTCTTTCTGCATCTGAAAATTAGACCTGTCCACAAGTGAAGTCCTCGTCGTATAGTGTGAGATATTGTCATCCACGGCCCGTAGGTGGTCGTCCAACAGTGAAACCAATCCCCTGAGTTGATTCTGATGAATGTGGATTTCACTTATTCGAAATTGCAGATGATCTAGCCTGGAACCAATGGGCGAATGTCTCAAATGAGTGAACATCGGGAAGTTGACACATCAGGTTCGCCTGCGGCGACAGGCAAACTGATGCACTACTCCCTATTGTTAACCGTACATGCTCCCGAACATTTATATCAAGCATGTCCCCAAACGCTTACTCTATAATCAAACTCTTACTAAGCGGGAAAACATCATCAACTCATTACCCTTCATATACATGAGAAAGAGAAATGCACGTAAAATTTCAGTTCATTCGCTGTTGATACTTTTTGCAATTAAACAGTATATTTCGGAACAGCAAGGGACATCTTGCTGTTACCTTATGACAGAGTTGTTGAGTCTTCCTATTTCGTGGAAACCCATCGTGGAATGAAGACTCAGATGAGCATTCAAGCCGCGCTCTATCTGTCTTGACACATGGCTGATCGGGATCCAATACGGATCTTCCTGTCAACAATGAACACTGGAACATCAGTGTGATAACGTAAACGGTTTGTGGCATGTATTTTCATGTGCGGATGAGCCTCAGAATCCGATATAGGACCAAGAATACAAGATCGATGGGAAAGCATGCACAGACCGTCTTCCCTCAGTTCTCCCATAATTCTGTATAAGGCAGCGCTCCATTAACAACTTATAATCAAATGAAAACCAACCATTTCACGAAAAGGGGGCACCTAGATTTCCTCTTGGAGGAACCGCATCAGGGTTCGTGAAAACTTTTATCGAGCAGTTCCTAGGGGAAAAAATCAATTCAGATTTGTTTCTCATTGAGGATTTATATATATCCATCCGAAGAAAGAGGACCACGAGGAAAGGTGTTTTGGTTTCTATCAGGACGTGTCCAGGCACGAAAAGTGCACGTGCAGAGAACGATACGCTACTAAGGTCACCATCGGTCACCACACAATCCGGATAGCAAGTGCGTGAGCGGAGCATACCAAACATGGCACAGCAACAGGTGACCGGAGGAGCGGGTGTGAAAATTTTCACGGCAGGAACGTCGCCATTGGCTGGACAAGAACGAACAAAGCGAATGACCATATTTGGCCAATCAGCCCTCCCATATATTTACGCACTGGCTCTGTATGTTTTGACCTGACGTGACGATACACCCGTGTCCCTGGTTTTCTGTCTTCTCAATATCGTGTCGTCTGGCAGGCTCAATCCAGCCATAATCAATGGGCGGCCCCACGATACAACTGTTTCCAAAGTGGATGGTCTCAGTGGAAGTTCACACGAAGTAGTGACTGACAGGGAACACCAGTTCGGACTCTTCAAGGAAATAACCTCCATGCTGAGTTGTGGTTTTTGAGCAGTGAGAATTATTTGGACTCGGATGATATCGTACGTCATGCATATCACTTCTCCGAGCCAAAATGCCTGGTCCAGACTTGATTCTGTTACTAGACATTTGTCATCCAATGTTTGGCTAACGTATTCGTGAATACCGCAGGTCGCACCTCGTCCCTAGACTGAGAGGAATAAGGCAAAAGTGGCTTTACTCTTTCGAGGAAATAAAATGGGTTGTTTCTGACTTAACTTTTAGTTCTTTAAACCATTAACAGAAACCCGATGATGGCGACTCACTTCTGGTTTAGCACATCCGTGCGTCGCTCCGCGTCTAGGCTTTCAAGTTTGCAAGACTCACGCCAATAATCATCCACGCATTCTTCTTCAAAATCATGCAGCTTCTCCACTTCGGCAGAGTCAAGAAAAAGCTCTGTACAGGAAGAAAGATACGGTGGTGCACATGATCGCAGTCCCTAGAAGTGGTCATTTGAACTAAATGAATCAACAACGTCAGTTTTATGGAGAAAATAATGTAGATACTGGAAATGTGTAGGAAGTGAGTTTCATACGACAAGTAGTGCCTGCTGGCATTATAAAAAAGATCAATCCACTTGGAAATATGTCAGGACATCAGTAACTCAGATGTATTTAGTGTGGTTGATCAAACGGCTGTTGCTGTTTGTCGAGCTCAGCTATTGAACTTCAGACGTTTCTACACTATCCAGGGGGACACCATCAGTGCGCGGTTGGTAACGATGTCTCGCTGTGTGATAAGGAGACGCATTCAGTCCAAACACCAAACTCGGCGAACTGGTTAACAGGCATCCTATTAAGTGTCGATGAAGCTATTCTATTTACCTAGATATTTCGACTTACCAAAAACGGGATGTTTGAAACGCATGTTTCCATGCCAGTAAAATACGGACAACACCATATATCTCAGATGATACTGAAGTGTTACATACTTTAAGTCTATACACACATGAGTCGCAGTTGCCTTCGGCGCAGCCACAGGAGGTGAAGATCACCCAAAACTTGGCCACTTCAGAAGATCAAAAGTTATTAAATGGTAGACACCTGTTTGACACGACTGCTACCAATATTCGAACCTGTTGCGATGACGGTTTTTAGAGCATTGACTGGCTCTTGTTTCGCTCCGGAATTCCTGAGAACCACAAAAGAGGAGCCGATACATTTCGAAGTCAATGTCTTCATTGATGACCGATCCAACCGGTTCGTCAGACGATTACAACGAAATTTTAACTATGCAAACACATCGGACGATGGCATCGCAACTTCGATTGCCGGTTCCACCAAATTTGTGGAATCTGTCATTCATATTTAGCTGGTACTTGAACCGAAATGTTTAGAATACCGGATGGGTGATTACCACGATATTGTTCGAACATGGTTTATTGTTAATCGTATAACCACGACCGCAGTGATGAATTACACCAGACAATCGGGTACGTTGCTCTTATTGAAATAAATAGGAGTGCATGTCACTGACATAATGTGTTGATATGTTCATGGACCATTTAAATGGGTCAGCCTGCATAGCTGTTTATGAGAAGTCCGCCAAAGCATTGTCCCAGGCCATTCGCCACACATCTGAGTGTTTTCAAAATTAAACTACTTATTTGATGATAAGTAACAGAGTCATGAAGTACTGTAGCAAAGAAGAATCAACTCGGTGACGGTGGGCGAAACGTTCACCACGTTTCTCAACAAGTTCAGTACAGTTCAGATTCTTGCTATGAACGATGGACATTCGCTTAGTGTTACCCACTATCAAGGATCTCTCAAAGTGCAGCAACTTTATATGAGAAAATCCAGATGGACGAGAAGGAACATCGCCTAAGTAACACTGGACATTATTAGGAAGTACTTACTGATTCTAACATGTGAACAGTTGTTATAAAAAAACACAAACCAATGCACTGCACTCTCCCTAAAACATCTTCCAGCCAAGTACAACACACAAGAAACCCTGCTGGTGCCTCAAGTGTTTTGCGACAAAACTCCTCCTTAAAACCAACATACGACCGAAAAGCAATCCTCGCATCCTCCTTTTTCTGCATAATTGGCCAGTGACAGACGCCGTTCTTTTTAACCCATACAGTCCGACCAGTCGTTAGCACATCAACAAGTGAACATTGTTGGTATGTATATGGTATCGTTGTCACCTTATCGGTTCGCGCCTCCTCCGTTCGACGGGTCACTCGGAAGTGAAATGGAACAGGCCGCTTGGTGAACATTCATCATCTATTAAAAATGTCAATGGAATGAGCGTTTTTTAACACTTGTTACCCTGGATGAAGCCCCCACTGGATGGTCGGTAGAGCTGAAATCTTCAGTCGTCTATGCTGCGACACTCAAAAGTATTCAAACGCGCTATTTCCGCACCAGAAGCTGCGTTCGTTGGGACATGTGTTACGTATGCCGAACCATCGTTTGCCGAAGAGAGTGCTGTTTCCCATGCCCAACTCGGAGTGGCGTAAACAGAGAGGTGGCCAACCCTTGACTTGGCAGAGGAGTATGAAGGAGATCACGAAACGCTTGGGTGCTGTCGGTGCTACTCGCCTTCCAGGATGGGGACCGCGTGATCCTCACTGTGCCTGGTTGGAGACACTACAAGATATGGCTGCCAACCGATGTCAGTGGCGTTCTTGTTGTCAGTTTCTGTCCAGATTGCCTGAATGAATGTCTGGAGGTGTAGGCACCTCGGAATGATTGTGATTGCACTAAGTCCCTCCCCTATCCATCTTTATTCTTTTCTTTACAATAAGGCTTTCAAATAAGTCATGGTTGTACGGCAGTGAAGCATCGGTGTTGAACACTGATGTCATGCTGTCGATGATCATGATGATGATGTCCGCATGATCACTGAAGATGTTTGCGCTATAAATTCAGATGAAGCCAGAAATTGAAAAGTGACTAGTTCAAATCGCCTGGGTGTTATGTTGTTCGTGATAATGAATGAGTTATATGAAAACAATACAGTTTTGACGCTAAGGAGTTCGTGAAATTTAATTTGCTTTCGGTTCTCCATTAAAGCACCCAGCAAATATTATCTCCAAGACGGACACAATTTTTATCAGGTAGGAGCAATACCGCATGTGAGGAAGTGCTAATTATTGTGGACACAGAAGCGATTATTTCATATCGATTGGAGATGTGAAAGTGATGAGATAAGTCGGCTTGCACCGCTTCATCATTACCGCTATTGCCGTAGTAACAGCAAGTTGGTGTTCAACAAAATGTCACTCAAGAAAATAGGTGATCCCAAAAGGCACTTTTGCACTGCGATTGGCGTCGCCGAAAAATTTGACCAACGGGAGTATTAACTGGAAAATCAGGATCCTAAAATAAAGAAGTTATCGGCACTTTGTTTGGTATGTTCTCAAGCATGGAAAATGTTGGAAACAGATGAATGAGTGGCAACCCTTACTCAGACCCATTGCCGTTTCATTGCTTGTGCTGAACACTCCGGGTGAGGGCGGAGGACGTGAATCGTTGTGTCCCTTAGAAAAATCGATTGTCTCTCCCTTCGTTCGACGCTTTGGCTTTGGTGTATTTGAATTGTTTTCGGACGATCTTCCATCTGAACTCAACCTTTCCAAGGCTGCAAGTGCACGACGGTTCTTTCGGACCCTGGCAATTTGTAAAAATTAGAGATAATAGGAATGGAGCTCAACATGAAAAAAAAAGAAACTTTAAAATTCCAAAAAAAACTGGTAACAACAAGATAAATTGAATTGTTGGAAATGCGCAAGCCAATCATAAACCATACGGTAGGGAGCATTGCAAGGTTACGGTCGCGCTCTCGTCCACATTCATTCGTATTAAATTGACATTTACATCAGCTGATTGTAATTGTGCCGAACTATGTAAGAAAAGGAGGTACGAAACAGCTATGTGCTCTCAGTGCAACCCAAAGGTATAGGTAAAGGGGATAAAACCGGCGTTATGAGAACCAGCAAGATATGACTGTAAATGGAAGTTAACATGATGTCAGTCGTTAACCAGTCTGATTGGTCACATGAATTAGAGTGGTCCAGGAATACAACCTATAGAGACTCTGCTAACTCTTGGTCTTCGAAAAGTAAACCAATTCAAAATGAAGGCATGCGAATAATATAACTCTTCTGTATGGGGTGTTTAGTAAGCTGATCTTGGAGCCTTTCTTCAGAGTAAATCAAGAGCAGTCCGCATTGAAAAGTCGAGAAACGGTGTGTACAGCATTTCACATGGGGATAAGTCAGAAGGATACAGTCCATGGCTTCTAAACTGAGACCGAACTCAACCGTTAGTCAGAGGTATTAAAGCTAAAGACCTGAACCCCTCAGCGCCAGTTGCACATCACAAATTCTGAGGCCCGATGGAGACAACATACCGGAAAGAGGATATGCCACCTTGTGAGACTTGTGACTACTGAATGGTAGCATGCTTCGGTCACTTGCAGGCTTAGTAATTTATGAGTACCATTGCAATTCCTAGAGGAATATCCAAGCCAGAATTCGAACTCACCCTACTAGTCTATAAATGAACTTGAACTCTGGCGAGACAACCGAAGTATTAGCAAAATCATTTCTTGTCATAACGTTTATTGGCACGCTTGCATCTCAGACGAAGCCGAAGAAGTAATGATGAGAACAAGTGAGACTCAGCTAGAGGTAAGGCGTTAACAAGAAGTCCTCACAATCCGCGAGTTTACTTCTCAGAAAGAAAGATAACTCGTAGCTTGAACGGCGCAAATGACACCAAAAATCCGTTACAACCGTAATAAAAATGTCTTTGCATGATGCCGTGTAGGAATACCCGAAACGTGCTATCTTAGGACGGCAAGCTACCCTTCAGTCATGCGCAAACTTTGAGTAGAGTAGCAATTGGCACTGAACGTTGCTCTTTTCTTATAGTCTAAGAGAAGCGCGGAAAATTTTACATTCATACAGCAGTCTTTTGCATACAATGGACAATTCAGTCGGAATTGTGAAATAGAAGAATACTGCAAAAATATCCAGCTGAAAGAGGTCATTCTACTCGCAGAGCGTATGATTGGTCTCTCTAATCTGTACACAACGATTGGATCAGCACAACCGTACAACCCACCGTCAACTCACATGGCGGTTTTGATATGGCCACCACAAGTGAGAGAGACGTGCTGTCTGAAATCAATGTGGCCTCAATTGGAGAAGCTATTTGGTGGTGCTCTAAAGCTTTATATATATGCTTTCTTGCGCCATCAGATTGCTCCAAAGAGAAACTGAAATCGAATTAAGAGACAGTGAGAGAGAGATATCCCAGTGCAGCACAATGATGACTGATTTCCCAGATTCAGTGGATACGTTGATGGCGTTATCCAACAACTTCTCCGAGTGCTCTTATTACTACGAAACTTGAGCGTGCTCGTGCAAGGGCTGAAAGTGAATTCACGAACGAACTGGCGTGACCAAACCACTGAACAAGTGCTTACCGGTAAACATGAAGAAGCAACATGTATATCCATGAAATTATGATGAAGGGAGGTGGGAGCAGCGGACGCGACTCGTACTCAATAATCACAGCGTAGCGTAGATAGTTGTAGACCAATTCAGACTGCTGGCGCATACGGGAGAAGATGTCATTGAAAGTCGCAATGACCACACTGATAAATACAATGATGGAGTACAGCAGAAATATAACTGTGGCGATCGGAACAGCCTCCTTCAGTGGTGTGTTGATCGATTCAGGTGGCCAGTCATTTGCTGGAAAAAAACAGGATAGTTGAGGTGAGGTTTATGGTAGTTGAATGACGAAAGTATGGAAAAAGGGAACATTAGGGCTTTTGGGCTGTATCGCAACAGAATAAATAGAGTAAAAAAAGAATATCCAAGTCCTTCAAGAGGTGAAGTTGCGGGTCTCATTCCAGCTAGTGATGTCTGCATTTGAAGACCAAAAGTCAAAAGTTAGAATACGTTGGTTCTCAAGACCAAGCTACAGACTAGTTCGAATTCGGGACTTCATATTTAATTAATAATGTGCGCTTTGTTACCTTTTCAATCGAAATCTCGTTCTGTAAGTAAAGCGTAGAAGCACTGCACAAGTGTTTCACCCTTGTTGGAAATCATCGGCAGTATTCACCGCGGGGATCTCCAAAGGGAACTCCCTAGTGTTTCGAGACCGCAACCTCCAGAGTAGTAGTTGAGCACATAGCTATTCGGTCACGAGTGGCTGATCAGCAGTGTGATTAGCTCACACTTACACAGACTCTTGAGTCAGAGGCTAGGGGCAGGGTCCCCTAACAAAACCTTATATCCTTCCACTGACTTGTGGATCAGACTTTCGAGTCGTAGGCACAAGGTGGGATACCTCAGCTAAACTCCATTCTTTGGCCTGGGCAACCGGGATGTACCATATGCCCTTGCAGCTCTTTTCTCACCGGCTTTCTCCCACACACCCCACTCACCCATCGTACAATGCAGTGCGATCAACCGATCTGCCAATACCCTGTTCCTTTATTCATGAAATCCACATCATGTGGTCACGTGTTGCTTGATGACTCTTTAGATGACAGGTTCACCCGTCTGATCCACTTACTTCCTGTTCTATGTATGCTAGTGTCGCTGACATGAAAAATGCATATCATTCCAAAAGCATGAGTTGATTAGCTGGATTATGAAGTCCACAGAACAGAACTACCGGCCAAATTTGGTTACCGAAAGCAATAAGCTGCATTTTTCCTTTTAACTTATGGAAAGTTATGTAAGTTGAAACAATCCGCGTGTTCTATGTTTAAGGTGAAAGTCTGAGGAAATTCTTGTTAGAGGATATTAATAGTCTACTCGTTGCTAGTGAGTTTAAAACTTGAATGTTCGAATTCGTAGCTGATCTCTGGAGTTCCCGGCTGTCTTCACAAATCTCCTCAAATTCAAAGCGAATTTTTTCACTGCCTCCTAAATCAGCTTGAATTCAAGAGCGAAGCATACAGAAACAGAAACAAAAGGGTCGATGTGTACTTACGGTCAATTTCGCCCGCATACACTTCGCCGTATATCATGAAATACGGTTTCAGCATCGTACCCTTTACACTGTCCAGATCAACGTGAGTTCGGTTCGGGTACATAATACCCTCACGCATTGTCCCAAAAGCAAGCAGGGGCAGGAACACCAAACTCAGCATGGGGATCATGACTCGTATCTAGAGGTAAAAAGAGATGCATCACGTTACGATCGGTGTTTAGGTCAGGGATGTCTCGCTTGAATGCAAAACACACCCGAACTGAGCTGGGTGACATCCGTACAACAAGGATCAATCTAACCGCAAAACTGATTTGAGTATGACGACCAGAAAGACTTACCATCATAAATACTGTGTAAATAATGGGACCAGAGAACCGCCATATTTGCATTAATTCAAAGAATCGCATCTGCCTGAAATGAAAAATAGCAGCAAAAGTTCCATATTTCACTTCCAACATTAACATATCAGTGCGCAATTATGCCCCTTTGGCCGGTATAGACCAAAGAAAACTCTTAGGACAAAAAGTGTAAAAAAAAGTGCGAAAAATCGCGACAGATCTGCGTGTAGTAACTTCCTTCGGAGAGAGAAGCCCGCCTTCTCGCGAGGTAGTATCTTTTGGTGGGGAAAAGAGCATTGCTCACCAGGACACACACCGTTTTGAACTATTAAATGGAACCGTGCTTCTTCTCTAATGTTTCTGTGTCGCGAACGTATTGTACAGGGTTCAGTCTCATTTTCTTGCCTAGACTAGTTAAGGGCAAAGTACTGATACATAATGACAAACGGCAGATTCAATACCTATCATCATCGTCGTCATTAGTATACAGATCATGATTCATACCTTCCAATATGTTGGCAAGACATTCGGCGTGATCGGCAGTTGCGTGAACAGGATAGGATGAATAATTGAGGCTGTGGTCTGCTAGGCACTCCTGTCGAACAAGTGCTGCGATTGCTTCTTACCGAATTGGGGTTACGCATCCAAAGTTAAGATTCATAAGGTCTGGACATTGACCTAACACAAATGTATTCTTTCAGTGTCTCAGCTGATATTAACGTATCGGCCAAAGCGCTCAAAAATGATGGACGTAATAACGGCCGGTTGGTCTAAACAGCAACGCGCAGAAATGGGTTCGAGAAGGAAAGCACTCTCATTATTGTCAAGCCTTCTGGTTTAAGGATAGGTTTCCAGAACGATTGTTTAGGATCTCAAAAGGGAAAAGGAGAATGTGACGAAAACGTTTCATGATGCAGAACAAAGCTACTTCATTGGTGTGATGCACTACTCATAAGGTTGCTGGAAACTCTCCGACAGCCCACGACCGGTTTCGCACTCTTTGGTCGTCGGCTGTCAAACAGCTTTCAGCAACCTTAAGAGTGGTGCACTACGTCCACACAAAGTATCGCGATATATCGAATATCGTACCAAACGAAACATGAAGTAGCCCGGTGCAGCACATTCAGTTGCTCAAGAAAATCATAAACGAGACATTCACCTGGGGTCCGAGTGAGTCTCCCCTCCAAACCAACTTGGAATGAAAATGTGTGTATTTCGCTCCTTCACATGTGCTTATTCTGGGACATTCTCATGAAAATTAATGTAGTAGGAGCAAACATTTATTGCCTTAAGGGCGCATTATCCTAGTTCTCATTGTTCAGTTAACCACAAACATTGTATGCATGTGCGATGGCTTGAGAGCCCAAACCACGCCTCGCGTGCTGTCTACATTAAAACGATTATGGACTTCCGTTATAGTTCATCTTCCACACACTAATGTCCTTCATGCACGGAAGCAGACGGAAATTTGTTGCACGACTCAGTGAGTTTCCTATTCCCTTCCAAAGATCGTTTCCATTGCATTATCCAATGTCCGAATTTCTGATAATAATTAATGGGACACTCTTCACTGGTCGCGAAAATTAACCAACCATGGTGAAAATCGAAGGAACGTCCGGTGAGCTCACCCTATCGTGTCAGAGTCATAGTAGCGTTGAATGAACCACAATGATCCAGTGAGCAAACATTATTTATCCACTGTTCGCTGCGGCGCATCGGCGTTCGTGGTTGCAGAGCTCTGAGTATTCAGTTTTAACGCCTTCCTCTAAGGTAGCGATAGTAGAACTTGCAAAGTTGAAAAGCCATTCTCCCTAGAGAAAGGCCAAATTTGAGAATACTGTGCCCAGATTTGAAGACAGGACGGTTTACTGTTTCCCGATATTGATTTAGTTCGGATCTAATCGGTAAGCAGTCATAGAGGCATCGAAGAGGAAAGAGCTGAAGTCCCCAAAAAGAGCATATAATGAGTTAAACTGGCTTATAAATAACACCTACAACTTACCACATTGCACAACAAACTATGAGCAAGTTTTTGCCCCACATATAAATCGGCAGATAGATCACACCGAAATATCGAAGGCCAATGCCAACCATTGAAACGGAGCACATAACTAAATCGTATGTATTCCAAAATGCACCGAGATGGACACGCATTTTCTGAAGATAATTACTGCCTCTGACGAGGGTGACCTAGACAGGAGAGGGAGTGAGGGGCATGGGAGAATTGGCGGATTAAGGTGAAACAATAAACAAACATTTACCACTGTTCCCTGTCTATCCTGAACGAAATACGGTTGATTCAAACTCGCATAGAAAACTTCAAGTCCTCGAATACACTAAGAATACTACAGTGAATCATACCTTGGGTTGTTTCCATGACATTCTTTGAAACGAGGCAGAAAAGAGAAACAGCAATCCAGCGGTCATTGTCTACATTCGATTTCTTCAAGATCAGCTGAACAGTTTTTGAGACATATTCAATGAGTGCAAATCAAGTCGGTGTATCACAACCTTGTGTATAATCTGTATTTGAAATCATTTTTAAGTGACGAAATGGTTGCGGTAAATCTGCTCATATATTTGGACAGGTCATATGTTGTAATTTGTCTGTTGAAATGTTAGAGACGACTGATGGCTCCAAAGCACCTCTACAAATTTGCTGGTAATTCGCCTGTACTAAACCATGCCTTAATCGACTGCCAGTCGGTAGCTCCATTTCCGGCTCCGTCTCTACCAGTCAAATTGCGCGCGGTCGTTTGGCAGTTTCATCGGTGTCATCATTGAATCGCCCTGGAGATTCGTCAGGTGCATACTGCTGGTACTTTCCGATAAGCAGGAAACATGTGTTCAGTGTGTAATATCAGCTTTCGGTATAGCTTAACTTCACTTAACGGATGAAAGCTGAATCGTAATTTCAAAATCTCTTCATTCTACCAATATCTGCGACTATGCTAAGCACTTTACGACTCTACCTTGCCTCAATAATTTCCTTAGAATGACCCAATAAGAATCCTGAAGTTTTGTCACCGAGCTATGAAGATGATCCCATACCGAGTTGATTTTTACGGAGCATGGAACTCTAAGCGTTCCAATGTAGAACATCTTAATTGAACACCTACTCATTTTGCGATTTTTATAAAGGAACATCACAGTCCCGACGGGTTTGTCATAGGAATGTCATTAAGACACTAAGAATCACTTTATTGGGAGGCTTGCAAGTGTAAATCAAAACCCGCACAACATCTTTACAATGGATCCTACAGAAAAACGCTCCTGACTCTGATCTTAAAGAGATACTCGGTATTTCATTACGAAACATGATTGTTCCCGCCGGATTGTGGATTACAGCATTTTTAGACAAGATGGCATCGATAACGTGATCCGCCACACAAATTATTGACTGACAACATGAGAGTCGAAAAACAGGCGATCATATGTAATGAGCCAACAGTCACCTGGTCGGCATACAACCACATTCCCCCTGCATCAGTCAAGAGTGCTACGTTTAGCAGTCGGAATGGCGAAAGCGAGATTTTCGAAGAAAACAAGGTTAAACAGAACGTCCATGTGGTCCCATGTTTGTGGTTCAGATACGTAATGAAGTGTTTTTTCAAGTGTGAGTCCAGCGGTCTTTCAAAACCGACGATATCGGGTAAACGATAATCAGCATGCGCTTTTTAGCAGGATACTAAGAAAGCCAAATTTCATAATCCAGTAAATAATTCCGTTCATCACAATCTCCAGTACTTCTCCTTGAATTGTAATGGATATACTAAGTGGCCGCGAGTTATGAAGCATGACTTTACGCTATGAGGGTGCGAGGCGCTTGATGATGGGCCGTTCATTCAACAGAGCTTGGGTTTCACCATCATATAAAAAGACGAGAAAGATATCGTCTGCATTCTCTAAGCCAATAAGCTCCTCACAAGCAACAACTTGATTACCAAGGTTTAGAAGATCCTCCAGCGTCCGTCTCATCATCTAATCAATGACGAAATTGAAAAAGGATGGAGAGAGTGAACATCCCTACCAGGCATTCTGAGTTAGGTAAGCTTTTAGAGAGCTCACCGCACTCTCAAACGCCACGAAGTATGGGAATATAGTGACTTCCACAAACTTCCAGGGGATTCTCTGTTGAGCAAAGGTGGTTAAGAGCACTGGCCGATCTAAGCGATAGAAGACACCCTTGAAGACGTGGTCGACGTCATCTCTACCTGGTCGAAATTCTGCTCGACGCTTACGGGCCAAAGTTCCGCGTGCCGCCGTAATACGACGAAGAACCAGTGATTCTAGAAACCTTGTTACCATCACAATCAAACTGACACCCCTGTGGTTACTACATTCATCGCAGTACCCTTTTTGAAAACGGGTACTATAATCAACTAACCTCAGTTGTCTAGGACGGTCATCTTTTAGTGAAAGACAAGTGCTCCAGACGGTATTCCTAATGAGAGTAGTAGCTCTCTGTGACCTATACAATAGTCGGTCATGTTGAGCCCTTACGTATGACCCGTTTATTTCCAAGTCATTCGGCTAGTCAATAATCCACATAGTCTCGATTGATAAATGACTGTCACGCAATTACGATGTTGGTGTGATCTAATCAAGTTGGCTTATATTTGCTTATTGGCGTTCAAAATCCAACGGAATCGACAATGTTTCAGGATGGAATGTGGTGGATTTCCTCCATGTTTTTCAGAGGATCCCGTAAAGAAATACTGTGCAGTTCCCTCACAGATACATACGTGTTTGTTCTCACTGCACCTACATAATTGTTGCTCAAAAAGTACTTACACGACACACCTGTTTGCCCCAACAAGTTCCGAAAGCTCAGAAACACCCACTTTGTCAAAAGCTACTGTCCGCAGGCTTCCATTTTGTAAGGTGACTAAATTGCTGAATAGTTAAGCTTCCATTTGACTTCCGGAAATGTGTGCACTCTAATCAACTGCTGATGAGTCCCAATAAGGGTGCTCCCCGGTTCTTCAGCACGCATTACAGGATAAAATCCACATTTTCATACCGACAGACACAGAAATTAGGGTTTACGAATTCGCACTGCATAAGGATGTATCTTGTTGGGGTTAAAAAGCAAGATGCTTAGTCACTTCTCTGTGTACTAACTTCTGACATTTATTGGCATCCACGTAATTTGTATCGAATACCACACGTGAGTAACTTGAGCTAGCCGAGATTGCCTTCATTGTAGCAACTAGTTTACTACCCACTGAATCTTGAGAGCATAGTACCATTAACAAATTGGTATTGCCGTACACATCGAAGACCAAAGACAGGCGGATGTGGGGCAGGCTAACTGCAACCGAATTTACGTATGAGATCCCTAACAGTAGAACCTACTAACGTGTGCATCGATTCTACCAACTAAAAACTGACCTCACGGAATTTGTCCAGAAAATAAGTGACGATGTGTAGATATACGTAGATCTCCAGAAACGACCAGCTGCGAGCGGGTATTGTATGAAGACACAGACCAATATAGAGGACTAGGAACACCAGATACAAAATCTGAAATGCAAAAATTGGAGAAATAATAGTGACTAGTAAGCGGAATCCAGACCAGCATCAACCGATAAAAACTAGATTCACTCAAGTTACGACAATGAACGTTTTATCCCAAAGAGAGTAACGGTGAACGTGAGTCACATCACATCGTATTCAAACTCTGAGAAAGTCTCGCATTGAATGGGTGCACATTTTAACAGCTGAACAGCCAGCTCGATAATAGCCCCGCTTCTAGGGTCGTAGCCTTCAAAGTGTGCGAAGCATTCACATGGACCGAATGTTAATTAGTTTTCTGTCCCTATCTACTAAGGTCAACAAACAATATTTCTTAATTATCAGGTTAGTCCGCACGACCCCAAAAAATACTCCTCAGTTTCATTTTGTCTATCCATTCAGCCATGTTTAGACCGATTACTTTGCTTCCTAGCTAATCGTCCTCGAGAAAGAAACGGAAAACTAGAATCTGCGTTGTTTTTTTACAAGAATTGGCCAAATTTCTAATTCCTAGACCTTAGTGAATAATAATTCTCACTTGTAGTCGTTGGCCAAAGCTACAAATGGGATGATATGGCTGAGGCGCGCCGATTGCAGGAACAATATCATTTTGTTCTCAAGATGAGGCAATAAAATGCACCACCAAACGAGGCACGAAACTGATCCTAGTTAATTGGGGAGTCGTGAGCAGGGCATAGGAAATAACTTAGCCGAAGCTCACAGACGACATTTAGGTGGACTAATGGACTAATGGGACAAAACAGTTATTCTCCATTCAAAGACTCTAGCGTCAGTGATTCGGTTACGTGGCGTGCAACCACAATCTGAAGTAAAGTCGGGCATGGGAGAACACCGTGGCGGTAGGCTAGAAACTGTTTAAAGTGGTCAAGTATGATGTCGACTCCTTAGGCCATTTAAGGGTTCTGTGGCTGTGGCACACAACTCGCTTACAACCTTCAACGACGGATTGCTACGATGCATGACTTCCAAGAAGCCGGATTAACGTTGAAGAGAATCCAGTAGACAAGCTAAAACAAATGTAAGCTAATGAAGGCAAAGTGGAGTTACAGAGTCTGACGATTCGAAAGCTACACAAAGAAAAGTAACTTCCAATGAAGTGATGCATGTTACTACAGCTAGCACGAACGTTTTGTGCCTTAGTTTAAAAATATTCACAAACTTATAAACCGGGGAGGAAGCACAAGGTAATCCTAACGTGCTTGAACAGATCGGAAAAAAGAACAGTTACAAAAATGGTAGTGTTAGTCAGAGGGTATTCTTCTTCCGGAAACCGAATGGATTCGGACAAGAATACAACGGAACACTGAAGCTACTGATTATCGTGTCATTATTACGGGGCATCTGATGCCACCATCTGGTGCCATTGTACTACCATTGTGCAAAAGTTAGTATGTGAATTGATTGTAGACTTGCACGCTTATATCAAAGTTTCGAAAATGTACGCGATGTTGCACTCAAGTGGGAAAAAGTTCAACAGTTTTGACAACTATCACTACAACGTCTAGTTGAGTGCTAAGCGATTTCCTGAGTCATCGCACTTGGGTAAAATTATGTTGTTTCGCATTCAAGGATTAAGTAATCACATGGACCACTTACGAACACAAACTACAGTAGCATCATAAATACAGCCATCACGAGATCCGTGTGCTTAACCACAGAAGAACGGAAATAAAAGGATTCACATGAAGTTTAAATAAATTTATGTTCTTTTCACACGCTGAACAAATGGAAGAATGGCTTACCACATGCAAGTAGAATCGCGTAACTGGGGCGCTGAAGAACTCGTAGATCCGCTTGCGCCAAGACAATTGGTGACTTGTGGCCGACGTAAAAAGGCCTTCTAATCTATCTGGAGTTCCTGGAGTGAGTTGAAAGTTATGCAAAGCACCAAGAGTCTTTCCGTACGGGGTCTGTGCTTTGGCAGTTTGATCATCGGATGCCACCCGCGGCTTAATAAGCTGTCCTGAAGCAATGTTCCACATGGGCTTAGTCAAGTCGTTCGGATTGACATGAGCCGGGGATAGGTGACGATTAGCGACACCTTCGATTCCATCTTTCGTTCGGTTTAATGAACGAGTCCTTGTATAACCCAGTGATTTACGCCTGCGGGGTATTGAAGTGGCTGCAGCTACGGAAGCGTAGTGATTCGAGGGAAGCAATGCAGCAAGATTTGACCTGTGAACAATGAGGAGTTTGAAAACCAATAGTGTATCCAGAAACTTTACATAGATACAGATGGACGGCAAACTACACATCACCTGCAGTCAATATCAATCGTCCCGCGGACACAGTGGAATAACGTAATTAGTAATTCTTGAAACACTGACCCTCCAGTAGCGGGAAGGATTTCAAATTTAGTTGACGGTGGTATGCATCAGTCAAATGATATAGGAAGGAAGCTCAAAATATACATAAAAACTACTTAGGTTGGAGAGGAAGAACCGTTCATAAAGAAGCATTAGCATCGGTTTGTCGGAAAAATAGCGGTCCACAGACAAGGAAATCACAAGTTTCCGTTGTGAAACCAACGGATTAGAAGTCCGCCGGTACTTTCCTTTTACCGGTAGGCGTAAAAAAATCAAAAGTCACTGCCCTGCTGGAAACAGACAGATAACAATAGATATTCAGATCTACTGATTTGTTCTATATCGGGATGCCGCAGCACCTCAAGAAGTTCTCAGGAGTAAAACAGAGTATGAGGAACAGCTCAGTGCTGGTGGGTTTAAAGTGAGCTGCATATTTTTTCCTTCCCACTAAAACCATTGGACTCGCCCGCTTTAACGTAGTGTATTCTGGGAGGTCTTCCTGTAGAAGTTACGGCCGCCCGAAAAAATTTCAAAGGCCATCAAAATTGGCCATTACAGAGGTTGGCTGTATGATATGCTAAAATATATGGCCAGTTACTGCAGACTTTGTAGCTACGGTAAAACCAAAGTAAACACGCTTCAGTCAAAACCAAAAAATGATGGAATCTAAACGCAGTGAAAACGTATTTTTCTACCTCAGTGGAAAGGAATGCTTTCCAATATGGTTTGAACCGGTAGTACAGTAGGTGGTATTAGGGAAACTTGGACATGTGTGAATACTGGAACGCTGATGATGCTGTCCTGCGGTTACCGAAGGGTCCTTCGGGCTTGTACGAGTACGTGACGTCAGGTTTACCTCAGCTGGCATGCTATTTCGACCAGCTGCACTGAACCGAACATCTGGTAACCCCAGATAATCAGGTGTTCTGTTGCACAACGCAAGGGCGTCACCTGGGTGTGGTAAGATAAAAAGAAAACGATTCACCGTATAATAAACCACATGCAACAAGCGGCTGAAATGTGAGCAACAGGGGTGGACGGAGTGATTCTACCCATCAGAAACTTTTGGCATGTCGTACGCTGTCCAAATGTCCGTCACATAATGAAAACTTTCATCAGAGGAACAATATAAGGGAAAAAGGTCGAATCGAGTCACTATTGAAGCATGAGTATATATACACCCTCAGCTTATGAATCGCTTTTAACAAAAACCGATGCGAAGAAATAATTGTAGAGATTCAAATATGTTTGCAAATCTCTTGGTCTCACAAAATTCGAAAGAAAGAAAGAAAGAAAGAAAGAAAGAAAGAAAGAGGGATTTGTCCAAGAACTATTTGCGTTCAGATTAGCCTGACGAGAAAATGTTAAGTACAAGAGGTTTGTAACCAGGAAGTCATCTTTGACAGCCTGTATTTGTGCGAAAGTAGCCTAAAGACAAGGAAGTCGTGAGTCAGGATGGGAATTCTGATATCAAACAACAGGAGAGATGCAGTAAACCTATTTTGGATGAAATGAAACTGGCTTACTTCCAGTTCCATTGTTATCCCCACCGTTCTCCTTCTGCACCGCAAAGCATGGTGCATCTGCTTTATCACCAATCCCAGTTGTACTGTCCATTGCACGACAATCTTTCTCAGTGTCCTTCTCTTTTTCGAGGATTGAGGGTGGATCGTTGTTAATGTGGGTAGGACATGATGTTACGACCGAATGCGGTTCACTAGACGCCTTGCTTCGTGAGAATAACTGTTTGAATGGAAGGTTGGATAGAACGTAATCACTGTTCCAAGACAATAAAGAAATTCCGGCATAAAGAAGAACCAAAATATGGCTTACTGAAGTGTTAAGATGCGAGGTCCACTTCCACCGAGACGAAATTGCCCCAGTTGTGAGGGTAATTGTCGTTTAACTTCAACGACAAGATCACTGGAAGACAAGATGACATCTACCCTGAAAAGCTACTCTACCATAAGTTTTACCCTAAGTGGGACTCACAAGATAAACGAGGTCAAGTGACGTGTTGATTCGCTGGTCTCACTGTTGAGTGTACCACGATACAGTCATTTATCAGACCCTTAATTTTAAGGCAAAAAAGCTTGGTGCTTATCATATTACCCACTTTAATTTACATACACCTCGCACCAATCAGCTGGGCTTCTGATCAAGGTGATTGAACCTCGGTTCTTTTAGAGCACATGGTTGAAAGGAACTCGAAGACTGTGCCTACCTGATGAGTCCCAATAAGCACGAAACCGGTCGTTTACAGCAAATTTGTGAGTGGTCTGTCCCGTCAAAAAGCAGATGGTTGCTTGGTAAAACATGTGGAACACCTGGAGACATAAAAGCTCATGTGAAAAACCGGGGGGTTCATTAAGGTGACCTGTTTATTGTTGGCTGCCTATTTACTATGGAGGATCCTCATCTGGAGCAGCTACCTGCATGTTTCAATGAATGGGAGTGATGGGTGAGGTTTTTGTGCATCCTGGTACTTGTGGATGGGCTTGACCACGGAAGTTCAAAGGTTCATCTGATTAGGCACCAAAAGGGTTCTAGGGCTGAACGATTTTTTTAAATGATATGCGCTTTTCATCATCCTTAGGCTTGCACAAACGAGTTTTCCGTTGCATTCTTCGCTACATCGTCTCTTTCCCGATATCTGTCTTCCATCATCATCAAAATCCTGTTCGTTCAGTCACACGGATTGCACAAAAAGGTACCTGTCATTAGGATCGTGAATGTGTCACAGCAATGAAGATTGCATTATCGGCATTGTTTAGTCTAGTCTGCAGCAACCCCATCAGCCCTTCAACTACGGTCCTCAGTTAACGGCTATAATCGGAGGCAGACGCTAAAGGTATGAATCGGTTAGTTATATTTGCTGTGAAAATGTTGGATAGAGCACGTGCACAGAAGTGATACAGCTGAACGAATGGGTGTCAGACGTCATTAAGAAAGAGCACAAGCTGGCAGTCATTGTTACGTCACTACAACGTGAAAATGACTGACTGAATGGTAGCGAAGTACCGTACTTTTCGAATCACCGAACCGATTCAGTAGATTCATTCATAATTGGGCGCATGAATCTTGAAGCATATGGCTTGGCTTCAGGCTTGTTTGATGACGCGGGCTAGATGGGACGCAGGCAGGCTACTGCCATCATGAAAATACCCAACGAACCAGCCAAATGAGAAGAGTCGGACTACAACGAAAGGCCAATTTCAAACAGACCAATAGAATAATGTTAGTCATTCCTCAAATAACCGGTGACGGCAAAGATATTAACAATCGCTCCAAAAGTGCATGAAAAGAAGCAGAAGTAAAGGAGATAACCACTCAATCGCAAACTGACGTCTTCTCAGGTGATTACTAAAAGTTTGCAAGTCGACTGTCAAGTTCGGAGAGAGGATTAACACCTAAAACGTTACCAAAGGCACAACTAAAAGAACCGTCACCAGCACGTCCACCAAAAACTGTCTAGCGATTGAAGCCGATCATTATCAACTGAAGTGAAGATTCAGTTGATAAAGTGAACAAAAATAGACGAGGTATTTGGAGTAGCAAGTGTGAATCTCGTCTAGTTAGAGCCTGCACATTTGATATTCTGCCTAGTCAAAACAATCCTGATCTCACACGAGGTAAGATTTGCCCTAATTAGAGTGCACGGTTGAGTTGAGGAACTTATAAGACGAACAATTTAATATGCAATTCGAAATAAACTGTAAAGAATGATTATTCAAAAGTTACTTCATCTACTTACAGGGACGAGGAGAACAGCGCTCAAAACTTCAAGACACCTGTAGTGTGTTACTCAAGACACTTGTGTTGAAACAACAGAAGTCTTGGGGAAAGAATGCTAGCGCACATTGCAGTGAGAGTCTGTGGTGCACCTGGCACAGCTGGTTTGACCATCAACCTACTTTGTTGCAGAAAATGCCTATGGTTAACACATCTTGCAAAGTTTGAGTATGGTTATCATGAGATATCTTCCTATCAGCTTACGGAAAAATTTCCGAAAAAAGCAACTCCCAATCTAATTACAATACTCCCATATAGTGTTTTATAAAGATGACGAACGCTCCAAATAAACCTAAGAATACTTACGCGTCTGCGCCTCTTGCGCTTATGTATATGTTGTGGTGATGGCAAACCAAGAATTTTGCTGTCAGACATGCTAGCCGTGCGGATCGAAGAGCTCGTCGCGACCACATCCGAAACAACATCGCCTTCTTTGACATGAGAGAATCTCTTAGTTGTATTGCGCCTGCCCAATCTCAGGCGGCGGTTCCCTTGGATACGGTAGTTACTATGACTTTGATCAACGGCAACACCCAAAGGAAGCGTGGGTGCAACAACAGACGTGGGCTGTGTGGAAGGAAGAAGTAAGGGTGCAACATAAACACCTTGGCAATGAGCAAGGACAATAAACGCAACGTCCGCAGACATTATGGAAAAAGGGACAGTGGTGACGAATATGCGTGCGTGTCTGCAAGGAATCTACCGAATCAATTCACAAGACCAGAAAGAATACGGTGAGGTTTGCAAACGTCGAAGATATCTTCGAACGTTATGCAACTGATAAGCTGTGAGGCCTCGTGAAACACCTCAAACAGATTTCAGAAATTGGTTGAAACCCCAAGCTAGTTCAAAGCCACAGAGTCGGAGCCCCACTATGTTCCACTCGTTGCTCACAATATTAAAAACTTTCTTAGCGGCTTACGAATATGGTCATTTAAATCCAGAATTTTCTTTACACCTCTTGAATTCGTTGGTGCAAAGTACAGTTTATTCGTGGAACAAACGCTGTGTTCCGTTGAAGCTGAATAGCCCTTTAGCAATGTTTCTCTACCACGGACCAAAATCCTTCATGTTCCTCATATATATATATATATATATATATATATATATATATATATACTCAAGGTAGCCTCGACATCGACTGCTTGGAGAGGAGAAAGGAGTCGTGAAGCGACAGCGAACACCTACACCTTCAGTCATAAGACGATTGAGCGAAATGGTTCATGGTCCGTACCACGATAATGACGTTATCATCCGACTGCGTGACTCAAACCCGGCAATCTCAGACACCAACAGGACACTTCTCCAAATCAAATGATAACAACAATAGTAATGGAACTAGTAATCGAATAATCGTTGAGCTGTAGCATCCTTTCGATGCCTAACTGCCATGCCACCCAAAGGATGGGATGAGATACTGCTAGAGTGCCCAAGCTAGATAGGGGCAGCCGAGATGATGACGTTGGGTCTTCATCATCATCATCGGCAGCATGACATCAGTGTTCGACACCGATGCTTCATTGCCGTTGGGTTCGAACCACGAACCTCCTGGTTAGTGGACTCGCACAACCACTGATCTATCTCGGGCCGCAAATGATGGTTAGTAATTATCAACCAGTGAGTGTCAACTTTTGGACTTCTGCTTGTTCCGGAACTTGTGTCAACTGCACGTTTACCTATCATCCTTGCAACATAATAATATAGTGGCTCATAGAATGTATCTCACAGTCGCCGTCTTTATCTGTTTGTTGCCTTCATGATTCGAATAAAGAGAATTAGACGCTTTATCACGAAGTGAAGACTAGTCATCATTCACGCGATGGTCCTTAATCGGTTAATGAAGTGCAGGTGCATTGGGCAAACGTGTACAGCACCTTACACAGATTGCCTCGACCCATTCAACTTCCCAAGATTTCTCTAACCATTTCATTCAAGAAAAAGGTTGCCTTTCAGAATGGCCACCTCTAAACTAGAATCGTCTGGAGCGATGAACATTCGAATCATTGAAACTACGAAAGGCTACTTTGCTACAGTCAGAGACTCATCACTGATTAGTAGCACAAAGACTGGAAACTGTTTCAAAAAAATTGTCGTAGAGTCCTGGAGTTCGCGTAATTTCTCGATAAATTCGCATCCGTTTTTGGATCCTCACAGGGCTATGGTAATAAGGCCCCCTACCATTCAACAGATCAAACTTTAAAAACAGTTGAACAAGCGCGTACACATGTTGGACGACAGCAGGTGACAGCACCGAGAGGCACCAGTCACTCGTTTTGTGAATATTTGTGCTGATAAACAAACAAGAAGCTCGGACATGAAACAGTTTTGTCATAACAACCCAAAAGTAAATTATGCACAAGACAAACAGACCATGGTAAATAGCTAACTAATGTGGGGACCCTAACATGAGCTACTTGAGAGGAAGATTCAGTGTAAATAAGTGGTTGATTGGCGGTCTTGGAAGCAAGTAGGTTGAACAGGTACGTCAGCGACACCATATTTTCCTGGTCAATGAAATCATTCATGTATCGACGCGTGTAATGGTAATGCAATCAAAGCATAGAAAGGTAATCACCCAGCTCGGTAAGACTGTGTAAGGGTCCATGATTGGTGTAAAGGTGAAACGAAATGACGATACAGTTGACATTCACTGGAAAGAACACCCACAGGGGAGATCACTTTCGGTTGATTCTTTCAAGTTTCACCCGAAGACAATCGCCCTTCGAGAAGAGACTGTTTCCCATAGGTGACTGATTTGGATCGGCCACTTAGATTGGTCTATCCAGAGGAAGGTAAAAGTATCAAAGGGCAACTCATTTGACAGTAAAAATGAATTAGTTGCATGGTATTCCGAGATGAGCGACATCAACCCGAGAAAAAATTGAAGTACTGGGAGCGTTACCTACCGCAGAGATAGATTCGGAGGCAGCACCCGTAGAGCAAACCGGATGGTCGCCGAGACCCCCAACTGGATTTAGGATGCTCATACGAAGATCACGGAAGCTGAAAATCATAAAAAAATGTTAAGGAATTTGACCATCCGTTTGCTTCACCTTTCCATTGACGCCAAATTTAAGTATACTGTCGTTCAACTCACAGTGAAGGGCGTGGCGTGGTTGAGCGAGACGAAGTAGTCGAAGAAGAGGATGACGACGATGAAGAGCTAGATGAGGACGACGTGTCTTCGAGTTCATCTAGATATTCTTGCAGTGTCTGTGGTTGTTGTGCCAGTTCCTCTTTGGTTTTGAATTCGAGAAATTTACTTCGCGTCGACAAACAGTAGCCAATGATTGGATATACTGGTGGCAGTAGCATGCCCATTAACAAAAGGGCAACTTTGGCTCCAACCATCTTTCCGTTTCGCAAGCCTCCGTACCATAGGTCATTCAAAATAGACTGTGTACATTTATGGCCGATAAAAACCTTAGATTCACACATATGGGCCAAACTAAGACAGGTGTTGTTCGAAAACGCGCGTAGCTCGTAAATCAATAGGCGTTTGGCTTGATCCGGGTCGTGACGATAGCAGTGATCTTGTAAATCAAATGCCAAGCGTTCGAAGAGACTGAAAAGCATTCACAGAAACAAAAGCAAGTAAAACATGACATGAATCTAATTAATCAAACGGCAACACACTCCGTAAGCGATAATGCACCATCTTTCACGTGGCAAATAACTGCGAAAGAGGCCAGTCAGAAAAAATGCGATTCGAACAATTATTTCAGGTTAGAGCACGAGAAATGCTCAACAGAACGGGGTTCCAGTGGCTCCATAGGTTTGTATCTACAGATGGCTAGCCTCCTGAGAGTACAACGTAACGTACTCAATGGACTTGATCAGGGTTGGTACACGGCCTCCGAGTGAACTGGACCTTCCATTTCACTCACTGAGCACGGTTTAAGATGGTTTGTCGGTGAAACCCGAACAACCGGCAACAACAATGCACGTTTTTCCAAAGTCGCCTGTGTAAGCAATGCTGCGGTCGGATACCAAAGGGCTTAGCCACGCGGGGCATTTGACCTTAATGGGGACTCACCAGAGGGGCGGAAACATTCCGAATACACGACTTTTCCTATAACAGTTACATGACTACATATCAGCATAGTACTGTGCCTAAATGAGAAATTCCACTTAAGTGTGGAACAACTCGGTTTTCATCTATGCGGGTGAGTAGTCAGAACGTCTTATGTGAATTGGCATGAGCTGATACGTATGGAGTCATAGGCTTGAAATTCGGCCGGATGATATGATGAAGATGCCCACGGAAGAAATAACTCACCCTCGATAGATGAACTGATCACACTGCACAGGTTGCGCTGGCTTGGCCACGTGCTGCGTATGCCAGTCGACCAACTTCCTCGAAGGGCTCTTTTCGCCCAACCACGTGAAGGATGGAGAAGAGCCAGAGGCGGTCAAACAATGAGTTGACAGCGAAGTGTGAAAGCAATTACCAGCAAACTTAGCTGCGCTGGTCACTGCCGTCTTCCTGGATGGGGACCCCGAGACGGGCCACATCAATGACTAGAGACATCGTCAGACATGGCCCAGTCGCGCCTTCAATCGCGCTCGTGCACCAAAGCTATTGCCTTCAATCCATAGCTCCTTTTTCAACCCCCCCCCTTGACAGTCCACTCTACCTACCCCCCTCCCCAAAAAAATATCGGTGAACGAAACGGCGGCAGCTACAACCACTGTACGACGAGTACGTGGTTATTACAGCTGACAATGATGGTGATGATGACGTGTTCATGAAGGTGTTAGAAACCTGGTCTTTGAACAGCTATTTGAGAGCGATTTTGTTCTGTACCAGGTGATCCAATCCAAAGCCTTCCAAGTGAACATAATGCATTCTGAGCCACTCACACAGCTTTGACTTAGGTACATGCACTGTGCCCTCCTACGAACAAGTGTTTGTAGCAAACCGATCGCAATGCAAAACCCCATCCACCCTCTTCTGCAAAGACCCCTATCGCCCGCTAAGCGAGGAAAGCTCATTTTGCATTATTAGAGAAAACAAATTCATTCTACGTATGCATTCCGGACTTCCAGAGATATAAGCATGGAATACACAGCCTTCATATGGATAGCAACTTCCTGCTTGCAGTAACATCGTTGAGCAACAATACAACTGGGTCTTTCCTATGAGAGAGGGTAAACCATCAAGCATGAAATAACGAGAGAGCAGGACTCAAGTTTATCTAGGGGCCGTAAGTGGGTCACCATCGGAACAACAGAAGATAAACAGAACAAGTGTTGGTTAAGAGGGCCGTCCAACGTAAAAGCAATTACAGAATTGGTAGTCCGTCAGTTTACTTCGTCCGCGTTTGTTCTTCGGATGTTTCTCATTCAATCTAGGTGCACAGGCTTTTGGTCGCACTTTTGAAGACCCGCGTTTGGAAACTTGCGTATTTTGTCCAGTTCATATCCACTATATTCATAGCAATAATAGGTGAATAGAGCAGAGAACGCGACGGTGAATCGGAGATACCACCGTTCATAAAATGCGTCTTACATTCCGTTGCCGCAAACTGGTTCTGAGGCAAGGAACGCTTGAACTGTGGATGAGATCGGCATAAAGTAGAACTTTGTCGAGCTTGATTTTCACTTACTAAACCTAAATCAGGACAACCCTGGTTACTCACTCAACGGAGATTTATTCCTGCGCGATATCGGAGACTTCGGTGGTATCAGTAAAAATATGAGTAATCTACATGCGAGTTATGCGCATAATGAAATGAACTCACTCTTCCTGCGTTCGAAATTCTTTGGCGACTTCCACTTCAGACTCATCGTGGACACTGGCGTGTCTGATTCCACGCAGCAGCTTTACGGAGAACAATGCCTGATCAGGAAAGTAGAGTACAACGCTATTTGGTAAACTAGGCAGAAAAAACCGCGTCCAAAATGTTTGAATACAATCGAGAGTGGGCAATTGTTACGTGTATAACTGAAATCAACCGAGAACGGTTAAGTTTTATAGGTGGTCAGATAAAAAACCTTTCCTAACTGACATAGCTACAGTCCTATAACTGCCAGCTGCGAAATAGTTATAAATTGCTAGCAGAAACTTCATTTGGGGTAACAGCTCCGATGCCACGTGACCAAACGGAAAATAGTCTAGTGAAATTCCATTTTGTCAATCTAATGACATACACGATAGTGAGCTGAGTCACCCGACAGAATTAGAAGACAACTTATGAGGAACTCAATACGAAAGCTATTTTGTTATTCACCGAAAACGCTGAAAAATCACACTTGGGTAATTCCGTGGAGCTTCGGTTAATCTCTTTTAAGATGAGAGCTGCGTGTTGGGTCAAAATATTCGTTCACTTCGCTATGAACATACGAAAGCAAAAACGACAAATCGAAACATTTTGGATTGCCCGCATAGGATACGTCCTTTGCGTTTGAATACAAATACCTAGACAGATATAGCCTATCAGACCGATGAAGACATAATTTTTTTCATTTAAAAGGGATGGATGGCTTTTCACCTGCCCAGCAATCACCTATCTGTAAAGGTGCTACCTACGTAGTTCTGAACGGCCTATACGAATCCATTGGAAGCCTAACACTTCGATTTTTAGAATTCCTGTAATATTTTGCCTTGACCCTCTTGTCAAACTTATATTTTTTTTCACTGAAGCTTCCTTCAGACAAGTTGTTGAGGTCGGAGCGTCGGAGTGCAACAATTATTTTGCAGCCGCCCTTTAACAGCTTCATTCTAGCTGATTTCATCCTGGACGAAAAACAAGCATCTTGCGAGCTTACACATGGCATACCTTGGCGATCGATTCCTCGCCGGCCAAAACCATGAAGCGAGCCATCTTATAGCGTCTAGTGAGAAGGGCCCATTGAAGTAATTCGGTATAGGGATAGCGGAAAATGCAGTCCCGACTGGAGGCGTCTTCAGTGTTGAGGACTGACGTCGATTGTTGTTTGTGTCCAGTGACCATGTGCCCGAGGCTCGCTGGAAACTTTAATCCCCCGTGTTCCACTGCGTGATCAATATTCGCGTAGGTGACAGACTTGCGCGGAAACGGAAACTTTCGATCTGCCATTAGCCTGTTCACAAGGCCAGCCTGGTGGAAAAAGGCAAGATAGGTGTTACTTATAATAATAATGTTAATATAATGTATACAATATATATATAATATAATAATATGATAATAGATAAGCATGTAGCACAGGGAAACCAGATCTCTGAGAATAGATCAAAGAAGCTTACATCCAACGGTACCATGAGGAACTCCAATATGGTCATGCATAAAGCAATGAAGTAATAAGGTAGAACAACGGAGAGATGAATTAATAAAATCACGAATAAATTAATATCAGAAAGTTTTAAAATTAGGCGTTCTGAAGTTAGATTTCTAGTTGCGTGTGAAAACCAATTAAACATGACTGTAATCTTATCGGCCTGTTACTTTTCTTGAAGCGGAATTTTGAGCTTCTGACAAACCTTGCCGATAGTAAGACGGAGTGCGTGATTTACTGCGATCCTTCTGGCCTGCTGTCGTCAATGTGAAGTTTAACGTATTTGGCCTTTTAGTTGAACAGCATGGACAAGTTCGTTTTGTAACCGGTTCATCCGAACAGCTTTGGTGAAACGGCACTTAGCTTCTCATACTCAGTAATTCGGTACAAATCGCCATGAGTTCATCAAACAAGGAATATATTGTTACGAATGCTTCATGCTATGAACATTGGGTATTCCGAGCCTAGATGTGAAAAGTCGAGTCCCTGTTTTCCTATAAGGTTGTACAAAATCTAACTAACAATAGGAGATGTGGATAAAACCCATCGTTGGCCTTCTTATACGTTTACATATTTTATTGCATGTTGAAATGTGTTCGTAGTTCTCTGAACGTCTGGACACTTGCTAGCCTGAAAAAGGCTTAGGTGCGGGAATTAGACTGGTGTATCGATAACCTGTGAACTGAATGGCATGTGGGGCAACGCACCAACCAAAGCCATGATAAATTTACCCTCCTAGTGTAATGACGAAATGCTCAGCCATTTGTATTCCATATATTGTTTCATAAGTGATGCATTCTATAACACTGCTCTTAAAACCCAGTGGCTTTTTGTGTCTAATGTGGAAAGTTCGCATTTCTTACTTTTATAATTGTGGTAAACTTTTCCCATGGAAATAGTTCTTGTAGTACTCACATCATTAATGATGACCATGGGGCCTACGCCATGGTATATCCTTCGCTCTGTGATCCACCCTTGTGAGCAATAAGAAACACCGTCAAGAGTAGCCGGATGCATGAAAAAGAATGCGCAAAGGAAAATGTGGTAAACAAAAACTGTTTCTGATCGTACGGTATTGTCCCTTACCAGATAAGGATCAGATGAATAGGATCCAACATCGGCCGAGGCTGAACGACGCTGAAACGATGGCAATCGACCGAAACCCGATTTGTCACAATAGCTATGCTGATAACCTCCACCAATGAGGTTTTCAATCAGTTGACCCACAGCACGCAGAGTGATCCGCTTAAGAAACCAAGGAAGGGCGAGAATGATGGTGTTGCATATGTCCACTCAAAGTAGGCATCAAGATGCGTCCGAAAATTTCAACGGGGTCATTTGCATAGAAAAAATCAGTTTAACGGAACAGTAAGCTCTCTAGTGAGAAGTGCATGTATACGTAGCATGGACTGAAAGGAGAGTGGTCAATTGCGTGTGAAATCAACATGAATAGGCGAGACGAAGAGCAAACGTTTACCGCAGTTCATTTGTAAGCGGGAGGTTTGTAATTTGGACACATCACCAAGAATGCATTTTTGTTCGCACTATGTGTACTTGGGAGGCACATTGCAAATGTGTTTTATCTAAGCCTGTACGTGTCTGATTAGTTCCTCTTTTTCCTGCACTTCAGCACTTCAAGAGGGGAAAGCGAATTTAAGGGGCAAACTCACCTGTCTAGCACCCATTATCTTGGCAAATAATTTGTGGAACGATCGGTTGTTTACATCACTAGCGGCGATATAAAGTTCCTCCAATCTGCCAACGGTCAGGAATCTTTGAATTCCCAATCCTTTGGCCAGAAGTAGCTTCACAAACTCAAGACGGTCGTTAAGGAGCGCATCAGCCATGGCGTTTTCCAAGGTGGTTGTCTGAAACGAAGGGTGAGAAAACAGTGATTACGTAACTCAAACAGCAAATCGGTACCAACTCACGGATATCGCGAGCATTCCTCCAGAAAACTTCTAACTGTGCTTTGCTGATAGTTGTATTCAGTAGAAAGTGCAGCAATCTAAAATGTTACCAAAACCTAACGAGGGCATGACGTGACAAGCTGCAAGTAGTCGGGTTCCAAACTGACCTAACTGAAAAAATAGCATCGTGCAGCTGTAGCACCCTTTTGGTGCCTAACTGCCATCCCACCAGAAGGAAGCACGAGGGCTGGGATACTGCCAAATTGCCCAAGCATGGACAGGGGAAGTCGAGAGGCAGAGGTTCGGTTTGAACCACGGTGCTTTCAGTCAGTAAATTCGCGCTCTAAACACTGATCCATCTCGCCCCGACTGAACTGACCGGACTGAGAAGACCGCAAACCCTATAAATACTTTCTCACAGATAGGTTATTCGTCAGGTATTTTTAAGATGTCGAAGAATAAAACTGTGTTCGGCAACAGATGAGAACCGAACCAAGGATCGATCCTGAAAACGCGCTATGGAGGTAGAAAACGTATCACTAATACCTTATGGTTAAGGTGTTTCTACGTGACAAAAATATGGACTTATCTCTATGTGTCGCGGCCTAATTGTACTCAAATACCGGATCTTTACTTTGATTCGAGTGGTCTACAGAACAGCTTGTTTGTTCGTAAATCTGCGCATTAATAATGAGTGTTCACTCGGTTCCAGGTCGTTTACAATTTCCGTCTTAACTTCGGAGAGAAGCTACTTGCCATTCATTTAAGTAGGAACAAATCATCGAGGAACTACTGTTGTGCGGATAACCGAAAATCACTTGTCTCCCCGCAGTACCGAATACTAGCACTGTTACGACTGCTATTCATGATCTCTCGACAGTCGAAACCGCTGGATTATCTCGAAACAGTCAGACAAAGCGCAGTACAAAGAACCAGGATTTTTGTGTGAGAAAAAACGTACCGACCATGTGCTACACGAGGTGAAAACCTTGGAACGTGCAATGTCTGGTCGGTCCCAAGCCATCGTCAGAGAAAGTTGTTCAGCAGGTGTTAGTTTGTGGCCGGAGACTGTGTGAAAAAGATAGGTGAAAAGTTTAGCCATAAAACGGATCGACTGTTGTTGCTTTGACGGTCCAACCGTCTACAAAAAGCCACTTGAAAAATCAACATAAATTGTGGTGCATTTGAAATGCAAACACAAACGCTCAGCCCGTGCCGGAGATAGAGAGGTGACATAGTTAGTCTGCAGTGCAATCAGTTAAGCATGAATCGTGCTCGTATCATAAAGACAGTAGAGTTAACTATTTTACTGACTTAGTGAACAAAAACACCTATGATTGATGGGAAATTCAACTAAGTTTTTAGCAGCCACGTTTCCGGTTCATGAATAAACAATTTGTTCCCCTGTCCGAATGCAATACGATCCCTGATCATGTGATCAGAGCTGGTGCGAGGAGGACCAAATATAACTGTCAATCTAAAACAGCCCGATAAAATGGATAGATCCGAAATCTGTGTAGGTTAGGATACTCAAAATGGCCTGATTGATCTTCCTTCAGTTTCATTTTTCGTCATCTTCCAGGTGAACAGTCATTGTGATTTGTTTATCCACAGTTATCCTGTACAGCGCCGTGCTCATGGTCATAACCACTTTTGATAGATGGAATCTGTGACATATTGGACAATAATCTGGATGACGCTATTCGACTGGTTGGACGTTGCACTTTCAGGTGATTTGTGTCACAGAACTATGGCAAGGCCTTTGCTCGCAAGCAGAATTATGAAACATGTTCAAAAACATCAAGCCAAAAAGGATGTCTCAGAATGCTGAGCTCATCATGTTTAACCCGAGAAATCCGTTTTTAGCCACAATGAGGAAGCATTGTAAAACGTTCTTCATAAGTTGGACTTTAGAACTAATTTGTCAACCTTGTCAAGCATTTGATGTGAAGAGCGCAAAAATCGGAGCTTATGATACCACGTCTACAGACTTCTACATTGCCCTGGGTATTAAACAAGAGTGCGTAATTGCGTCAAACTTATCCAACTTGTATCTGACCGTAACATGTATGGGAGTGTGTTGAAATCCGGAAAGTGGTTTGACTATTCAGTATTGACTGGGTGATCGCTTGCTAATTCGAGAAGAATCGTTGAGCCGAAGCACCCTTTCGGTACGTAACCGCCATCCCACCAGGAAGAACCACAAGGGCTGGGATACTGCCAGGTTGCCCAAGCCTAGACGGGGGAAGTCGAGAGGCAGAGGTCACGTTCGAATCACGGACCTTCCGGTCAGTAAATTCGCGCTCTCACCACTGAGTCAACTTGCCCCAGCTAATTCGAGAAGATTGTGACCTAAATAAATGCTGTGTGATTCGACATTAAAATAGGAACAAAAGTGTTCATTTGGTGGGCTCATTTTGTACTGTTGATCATGGAAAGATCACCAAAAGCAACAATTCAGTTCTTTGCGGGTAAATGTATTTTTTCACAACTGCGAAAAATGACCATCCTGTCGCAAGCACGTAGAACGATTCGATGAACATAATTTGTTCCAACAGTTTTTGATGCTGTGGATCGCTTAGAGAGACTATGTACGGGTATGAAAATTGATCACAAAAAGTGATGTGAACCAAACCTCAGCCAATTCTACAACTATTCACGAGAAATATGCTGATTGTTCTAGTCAAGAAAGAATGTTGGCACTGATAAGTTGCATAGGGAAAAAACAAAACGGTTTTGAGAGGATTACCTTGTAGCAACGCAGTTAGAATGGTTATGTCGATCTCGTCGCTGTCACCTTCGCCCATTCGAAAAATACTGATCTGAAAGTATGTGGTAATGATGATAACAAGTGTTTTACTTTTATGCGAAAAAACACCGTAAATGCGAGTTAGCCGTATTACACAAGCAAGAGAAACTGCATCGTCACAAGACATCATATAGTACCTGTGCAAATGGTTCCAATCAAGGTAGCTAGAAATGCTGTAAAATTCATTCAAAAAGGTCACTGTCAGGTAACTCGAGGCGGCCTGGTGCAGCACATTCAGTGGCTTAGAAACATCATAAATGAGAAATTCAGCTGGGTTCCTAGTGTCTCTCGCAAAACCATATTTGTTTGCAAATGAACGTACTTCGCCATTGTCAAACAGTTTTTTGGACCTCAGTCGGCAAGCTTGGACCACATGATGACCAAACTAAAAAGGGAGTTTTATGGGATTAAGTTTTCTTCTGGCCCGAAGATCGAGGCCACGTGAGTGTTGTGAAGACTGTCCGGCACAGCCATTTATTTTGTCAAACGTTACAGTTTGTCAGTACTAACAATAAAACAGGGTTCATGGTTGAACATCGTCTTGTTCCTTTCTGACACGAATGGTCGCAAGATGGAGCGCAACTTTTCTCTTCGAAGCTTGTTAAGGCCACAGTCTGCTAGCGCAGCGTGAACACGTGAGTTTAGCCATTAAACAGACGGAAAAAGCCCATAGAAAACAAAGAAAGAAAGTATTAGGCTTCCTCGCATTCGTACTTTATGTTGAAGAGAATATTCATCATTTTTTAAGGAATTTAGTCCCTATCTTTGAGACTGCAAGCATGCTAATCCCAATAAATCGGACTAACTGTCGATGGCCTTGGTTTGTTCATCCTTAGCGGATGCATCGTAAATAACTTTTCGTAAAACATTGCCAGTTAGCCTTCCACAGCCAGCAACGCATTGTTTGGGAAAGATACTTATCGCGTCAAGTGGCAGATAGATCGCGTTCTCATCTTTGAAAAATTCTGGGGCTATCAAAAGGATGAGTGGCCAAGGGTGAAAAGTCATGGGAGCAAAAAGTGAGTGCAATCAGGTCCATGAAACCGACCGAATGTCATACAGTTTGTGTGCAGGGAGATTGTGAAGATTGAATCAAAATTACAATTCAGAGGCAGAGTTTATGACTGCAAGGCTAATAAGCACCGTGTCGCTGTTTCATACTTTTCAGAGACTATCAGCAGTCCGCACCTCACCAACTCCTCGGGTGACTCGAACCCCAAAAAGTCCAATCAGTAAATACACACTACGCACCATGCTTTATATCACTACGACAATTCAGACTTGGAAATATACTTTAATTAACAATTTGATGTACCCCTTTGGGTATTTGTGTGCGAATCTTGAATGAACCGTTGTGGCAAACTGACGGGACGTATTATTTTCGGTAATCCAGTGAAAAATTCAGGTGTACGAATAGTGGCACTTTTCACATGCTCAGTCACTCAGATATGTATACCTAGGTCTGATTAGTTTTTTTCTCATGTCAGTGGGGATAAACCAATGAGCCGGGATGGGCCGATTCGGTTTTGTCAACTGATCGGATAGGTCGATTCACAAAAAAGTTGGTTTGATATGCTCCTTTTTCGGCAAAGACTCACCTCACTTAATTTCCCACTCAAACCTTCAACTATCTTCATTTCCAGTAAACCATAGGTAATCTGTTCAGAAGGAAAAAGCTCGCACAACGCATGATTTTCCTCCATCTGGGTATCCGTTGTTTGACGGACGACCACACACTTGATGTGAGGCATAAGGCCAAAGCATGGGTGGCGTTGCATACCATCCCATCGTCAGTTAACCACTGCTGACCAACTGCTCATGGTCGAATTGTATATGCTGTTCAACCAATTCTTAGCATAGGAATTCCACTGACAAGTTTTATGATTAGGAAAGCAGTATTCCAAGCATAGTTCATGTAAATAAGTATCCATTCAGTAACAAAGAGAACGCCATACAGTTAAAATTCGATCCATTTGACGTCACAGTTGACTGGCTTGTGTAACGAATGATCACGTGAGCAGATTGCGTAAGGTTCAGTGCATGAATAAATACTTTCGGAAGCCGTCAGCTCGGAGTACGTGAGCAAACACTGATATTCGTGACCAGACACTGATCTCGGTAGGTTGTGAATACACCATTAGAATCACTTGCATGACCTGAATCCGTCAAACGGCTAGCAACTACGTTCGTCAGAGATTATTTTCATCTAGTTTGCAGTTCTTTTTATTGCACAGCAGTACGAGTGGTGTACTACTTAAAGGTCCCGTTCCCATCTGAAGGCGTGGAAGTTGAGTGTCCGAACATACTAGTCTCCTGTATGTTTTCCATTAATTTTCGTCAACTGAACCATCCCGCATATATTGCTCTCCAAACACCACATAGCGTCCGTGGTAATTTAGACTTTTCGTTTCCCTTTCGGCTTGCCAAAATAGTGCTAGTAGCATGTCAAACTGAACTGGTAAGACTGAATGTCGCACTTCCAATTGCGCTTCCAATTGACATTAAGTTCTAGCCAATCCGATGTCTGTTAAACGCGAATTGCCTTCAGTAACTGATTTTCCAGCTCACTCGTGCATTTAAAGTGTAGAATAAACAAGAGTAACCGATGTGTTTGACCAACACCTTGAATGATATCAGGTGAACGTTACTGACTGCTTAAATGCGGTATTTATGAACCTAATTTTTACTTTACCAAGCTCACTACTCACTATTCTCACTACCTTTTGAAAAGAATGCAGATGGATCGGCACGAACTACATCAACTGCCATTTATAGCGAACTCAACTGGGTAGCGATCCTCCTCATTGAACATTCACAAGACTGTGCGCCAATATTTTCCCTCTTCAGGCTAGGAATGTCGTGTGTGACATGATGTTCCTAGCTGGAATGAATGGGGCGAATAATCAATCACGCCAAGGTCCTAACTCGCTACTAGACATCTCTCACGAATGACAACAAAAGGTGCCATAAAATCAGTTTGAAGTGCTTCCAAAGCGCCGCATAGGGGGCTTTACGTACACCATATCATCCAAATGTCTTGTGGCCGCAATAATGTCCATACCTTTACAGCATGTTGAATGGTATCCTCACGGATTAGTGAATTCAGTCTCAAAAGTTGCCAACTATTTGGTATTTACTTTGAGTCCGGTGCACGATGTTCGGGTGTAAGGTCCCTAAGTGGAGACAAGGCTGAAAGATGTGAATGCAAAGACGTCAAACACATAGATCCGATGCTGGAGCTCTGTCTAAACAGCATCGGCAGCACCACGAGTGAAGCTATCTGTGGAGAGGGAACGAAACTTCTGACCTACAGCTCTTAATGAATGAGCAGACGGAAAGTTGCACGGAAATCCAACTGATAAATGATCAAAACTGTCCCGTAAGATCCATTATTGTAAATCTGGGGTATGTGAAAATCGTAGCGTCCGCTTAAAAAGTGCTCGGAGACTGGTGTGCAAGTAGCATCAAATATGCCTATAAAAGTTCAGCTAAGAGTGAGCGATATACAGCTGGGCGTCAGCAGCACCTCAAACCACAGCAACAGAAATTGGATGAAAACAGTGTTGACACCACCATATGTTTGTGGGCGGCGTACGACAGACTAGGAAGTAAGTATTGCCAGATCACCCCTTGAGTGACGGGAAAACTTTGGATGGTCCACTTCAGTGAGGTATAACCAGGATCTCCATAAAAAGTTATTTTACACATTGAAAGATTGTGATTTTACAGGGTAAACGAACCCCTGATGGATAGACACGGTGATGTATTTTGCTAATGATATGTAGTGGCAGACGTTTGCTCTTCAACATGTCTGGCTTGCCGTCCTGCATTCAGTCGCAATAGAGGCGGTGAGTGAGTATATGACGACAAAAACCAAACATGGACCTCAAGTCAACTGGAAAATTCCCTCCCTGTGTATATGACTAGACATGGGCGTGATAAGTTGTAGTGTAGACCGATTCTCGAAGAAGCGGACGCCGACCAAGTGTAGATAAGTATATAAACTGCGGTATTCACGAAAACAAATCGCACACCTATTCTTGTTTTTTAGGTACTCGGCTTTTGAGCATCTAACCTGATAAACCTTGCATTTTTTCAAAAAAAGGATAGGTGTAACAACAAGGGACCGCACGCGAAAGTCAAGTGAACGCGTTTTAGTTCACGCACCATTTGTTGATAGTGGGTCTCTTGACTGCGAATGGTAATGCATTCCATCCGAAGGTATCTGACATTTGATATCATCTCCAGAGAACCGGCTAAGCGGGTTTTCAGGCCTACAATGCCTTAGGCGACAATGTGATGTGATATCTCGCTAGCTAAGCCATAACAAAATATCGATCACCTGTCCTGGACTTTGATCAATTCTTAAAAGAACTTAACTGAGCATCTTTACGATAAGTTGGGAGATATCACGGAGATTTCACTGACGTGGAAAAATGACTTTGAAATGAGTGAGTTCCAAAAGTTGATAGCAAATTTTGCCAAATAACTGAACTTCTCCGGATAATGACACAGCAACCATTCTATGACTTCACACAGAGACCTAAGTTAGAAGGAGGGTTAACAGGGATAATAATGAGTATTTTTACAGGGCCCATATACCTGCTTGTTGAATATGTCATACTATTACCTGTGTATATGGGGTAGTGTTCGGACGGGTCGGTCAATCACGCTTGAGACCTGGTGGAGTATGCGGCCAAATTTGAATCGAACTTCACGTATATGGTGCGCGACTTAGCAGATGCACCAGAAACTGAAGAGGAATAACCATTTTTGTCTACGAGGCGGGTCGAAGGAAACCCTTGACAGCATAGTTGTCGTCTACACAGTCGGTTCTGGTTATTTGAGTGATTTTGACGTTACCATCATAATCGCTTACTAAGTGTCAATCAACCTAATAAGGGTCCGTTTTAAATCAGTGTCCGATCCAGTTGAGGAACGTGCTATTTGCTCATGCCACTAGAAAAGGTGATCAGAAATCATGATTTAACAATGTGATTGTTCGAATCGACTGTAACGACGACTGTATCGACGACAATGCAATGGCATCGTTATTTTGATTGTCAGTAAAGTTCAGTGGGAGACTTTTGAGCCAGCTGTTCCGAGTAAGATTCGTACTCGAATGACGCGCTAAGCCTGAAGACCGACAGCGTCGTCCGTCTATCAGATAGGCCAATATGGGTAGAATGATAACATGTGGGTTGTACAAACCTCGAATGCTGAAAACCTCTGTCGAAAATGTTATCTATTGTGCCAAATCCCAACTCGGAATTCATTGTAAACAACCAAACTGGACTGTGGTGGCAATTGTTATGGTATCGAAAAAGTGCAAATCACTTGGTTCGAGGCCAAGCGCGGTAAACAAAAAACAATTCTTTCCCAGGATACAGAAAAACAACCATAATGAGAACCTGATTCCACAACTTTCATATGATGTTTTTTAGCAATGAAATGGATAACACACATACCAAATGCCTCCTCTTCATACATAGCCGCAGTTCGCTATACAGTCCTTCCGATTCGTGGCGATGCAGTTGGAATGTTCGACTGATGGTAGGAATGATCTGTTCTTTTAATGGAGCAGGTAAGTCGCTGAAGTGAAAACAGAATGATATTAGTGGCCTGGGGTGATGCCCTCAACAGTGAGTCAGCATGGAATAACTACATAGGTTCCAGGATAAGAAAGCGTCTCTTTTTTACCCCTTCTAGCCGTTCACGTAAATCGTTTGATAACCCAGTTTCGAGCATAGCATGGTGTGGACATAAGTCTTCATAGCTAATTTCTAGAAAGTGCCACGGGCAACAGGAGTGAAGACCTTTACGGCTCTAACCCTGTGACTTTGTTAATGTCATTTTCATTTACGTTTACTACAGCTGCCACATGAGATTATTGGCGATTTCACTGTGGCTTTCCCTAAGAGGAGAGTATATATAAACCTTGGTGCTATCATGACTTGACACTAGCTCGACAATGAGATTCTAGGCTTCATACCTCGAAACCTACCCTGCATGGTGACGTGCTGTCATGGCTTTCGGTTACTTTGCAAAGGTACTGAGCCAATTCGACGGCGGGCGGCGCCGTCCCTTCCCCGTTTCATCAATCGTTTTGACAATCAATGCTCACTTACTTCTTCGTCGTATCTTACGGCTACCTCGGTGTTTTAATCCCCGTATGCTGTTCGGGAAATCGAGCATAGACATTGGAACGACATCACAATTAGCAATATGAACTATAAGAGGATCCTTTTTCGCCGAAGACGTGTGTCGAAGGTGCAACAAATACGTGCATATTCAATTTGCTGTTTGCATTTTTCAACCTGTGTCTTATCCGAAGTGATGCGACGCGTCTTACGGCGGGGGGGGGGGGGGGGGGANACTGGATACCTTCGGGCATGGAACCTTGCGGCTGCAATGCCGCGGAGAGCATGCTCAGGAACGGCAGTACGCAGAAGAGGACGGTCAGAGCGAGCATCGCCGTGCCGGTGATGCGAACGGCTTTGGATTGCTGCATGGTCACTGCTCCTTTCCGTTGACCAGACGCTGCAGAGGTCCGACGACCAGCAGCACGAGAATCATCAGGGTGACGGCGAGTGCGGAGGCCAAGCCAACGCTCTGCTGGGTGAAGGCCAAGCGGTAGACCTGCACGCCGGGCACCATGGTGGAGGTGCCGGGGCCGCCCTGAGTGGACATGTACACCACACCCGAAAGGGGGGGGGGGCGGGGGGGGGGGGGGGGGGGGGGGAGGGCGGGATCACAGGAACTATGTCAAACCTCACGTACTTCCATTACTTCCATTTTTGGGAGAGATTCGTTTTCCCGGAAGTGAGGACGACTGCACTTCCGATTTCACGCCGTCCTGTTATGATGATTATCTTGGATAACGCGACTTCGCTTAACCATAATTCGGCCTACGAAAAGGGAAATCACGCGTCAACTTCAGTGGATAAATTCAATCGATTTTGGCCGATGTGCTGCACATCTGGAGTTTGCCTGTAACAAGGTCATCAAGCGGCCTATGCACACAGTTCACGAATCATGAACACTTACCCATCTTCGTTAGCGTAACGGTGCATGAATGCCAGCAGATCAGCAGCACGACCACTGCCGTCACAAACAACGACGGGTACTGGATACCGGCCAGTTACAAGCTCAAAGACCGTTCGGAACGTCTGTTGACCGCCTTCAAGAAGAACACCAACAATCGGGATACGTGACTTGGATCCACCTGAAGCGGATTCAGAAGATGAGATTAGTCAAAGACGGGTATTGTGCGTTCTATTGCCATGTTCGATTAAAAGACAGAATAAAATAGAACAATGAATAAGGGTGGGAACACACTAAAAACGAAGAAATTAATTGCTGTTTTTCACAAGCTGGACGACGTGCACTTTGGATGGACTTAGTTGCGCCGGACTAGTGAACATACAATGTTCAATGCAACTGTTGGATAAGCACCTTCCTAAATGAACATTTCTCAACCGATTCCTAACAATTCCGAACTGATTGAATAATGAGAGCGCTAGCCTACCGACAGGTTATGTGGTGACTAATACAGCACTCTCCCGCTTACCGTTAGTCAGTAAAAAAGCTACACGATTACACAATCTGCTAACCGATAAATCTATTCAGTGGCGCATTGAATTTATCCTACCAGTCCCAACAATAAAGCTGACTGGGTCGATCGGGCTGAAATTGGACATCTACAAAGAATATGTGAAGGTGTTGGTCACCTAAAGAACATTTTCCGACTTAGGTAACCGACACTGTACTTCACCCACGTAAAGTTCATTTGGCTGGGTGAGTCAACGGCGTTGAAGCTAACCCAGAAATACCTGAGTGAAAAAAAAACATTTATTCATATGGCTTATACCCATATTTCAAGTAGCGTTACCGAATTTGTCTCACTTTGTGATGATTTCTAAAAAATACGCGACTGTAACTGACGAACAGTAGATGGCATCAATTGGTTAAATGTTGCAGGAAACCATTACGTCATTGTAACTAAGGTATGGACCCGTTGGATAAATTCAAGTTAACATGCAAAATGAACTGGGAGACACAATAGTTGAGTTCCATTTATTTTCCACAACGGAAGGGATTCACTACCTGCATCAGATATCGTGAAGCCTTTCGAACGGTCAAGTATCAAACTCCGGTACACAAACCAAACATCAAGCCATCCGGATCTCTTGCACTTAAAGTATTTACGAACAGCATCCTGTTTATACTCACACAAAGCAAATGTTCTTATGAGTTGGCTTCAGAGTAGAGCGTAGGTTTACAATTTGTTGTTTACCTTTGCAAACAGCAAAATATTGTCCGAAAATCGTCCCTTAACCTCAGTTTCTGCCAGTATTTAATGTCCGTCCTTGAAATTTCCCAAGGCGATCCCATCGACTGAGTTGGAGACTCTGCTTCGCAAGTAGTACTTGATATCTTTTGTACATAGCAAGATAAGACTCCTAAAGATCGCGTTAGATAAGGAAATAAAATGTTCCCGAGAAAATTGACAGGAAAAAGTCGGCATTTTCACAGAGAGGTACATTCGTCAATGCTGGCTGAATGTCTAAAAAACACCTGGACCTGAAATATCGGATGCGGTAGGAGCTTGTGGAGATCCTCTAAACAATGTTCCGTAAGTTCGGCTCACCATTTGACACGTTCATGAGCGAGTCATCCATGGTTAGTGTTGGGCGAACTGGTACATTTTGTCTATGAGTCTTAGATAAACCATATGGCTGGGGTGGGTAAGAACAAATAAGTCTACTGTGGTTAAATTCCATTCGAAAGATGAACACATGTAACTTGCTCCTCCACGAAAAACATACGGACTGGGTGTTTTCGTATGGAAGGAACTTCAAGGTGCCGGACAAAACGTCCGACCTTTTCATCGAGTCTAACGGTACCCGATTGTTTGCCTGGTCAAAATGCTACAGCATCCTCATGATGCCTTAAGTCCTGTAAAGCCTTCCAGTGATCCTGACTAAATGAACACTTTAAGTTGGCCAAAAGGGAACAAAAACGATTGCTCAGATCTTTCAGTTTCTGTTTAATCCCATTCATGTTTTCAGCAGATGTCGCCATCGGGGCCATAAACTGGTCATGAATTCGGGCTCAACACTTTCCCCGACGATATAAGACAGGGGTAATTTGGAGAGTACCTCAAGATAAAGAGCTCCAAGCTTGAGCCTACTCAAATTATCGAAGATATCGGAAAAGTACATAATCCCTGTCATCTTTTATAATTTTACTGCGTTTTACACGTTCGCCGTTGTAGTGTGCGGGATGAGACCGTTTGGCAAACACATAGTTCCCTTTGCACTCCTAGGATTTCCATCTGTCTACAGAATAATCGATTAGTGCAAAATAAAACGGGCTTTCGATGAAAACCCACCATTATAATCCAATAAGTGCATCAACCGGAGAAAAGTTCGATTTCACAGATTATCACCCATAAGTACAAAACTGCTCGGTAAGCGCAATCAGTGAGGTACGAAAGAAGCCGGAACGTTTCGCAGACGGGTTTGAAAAATCGTAGCACATTACCGACGATATCCTGTGCAAAATTAGTGAAATGGAAACCAGCGACGAATGTAATGCTGGCAGTTGCGCGTGTGCGAACGCGTTCGCAAATACACATCGTCATTTGGCGCTAAGTTACAGTTCTTCCCGCCTGTCTCTTTGATCCATCGCCAGATGATATTGGGTATCAATAAATTACTTAAGCATCTAATGCAATCTAACAATCAAATTTTTACTCAAAAGAGGTGAGCGTATCGTCCCGATATGGTTAGATTAACACGGTCCTTTATGAATTTTACCTTGCTTTATTACTCCGAATTCAGCTTGACAAAGTCTTACTCAATCATGCAATTACAACAGAAATAATCCCAAAAGATGAGGAAACAAAACGCGCCCGAATAATGTGATCACCAGACAAACCGTAAACCATTGAGCTTTTGTCCAATTTAAAAAAATCATGCATGCGTAAGTGTGTAAGTGGGGACAAGCGATTTTGCTAGCAGAAGCGGTAAACAGTTAGGATTGATAATGACAAAATCGAAGGAATGGGGGAACAGATAAACTACCATCTGGAGACTTCAACACAAGTTGTGGTCAAACCGATGCTTAGATTATCTGGCCGAACACATGAATGGTCCGATAGGCAAGCCGCGGGAGTAGTACAGAGATGACAAATGTCAGAATCTGTGTTTTCCAACATGTGGCGACCCAACTGATAAGATAAAATCGGGACCCAAAACCAAAAATTCCCCCCAACACCTACAGGAGGAGCTATTTGTCATATCAAATATTAACTCTGTTCTCTTTGGAGTTCTCGGAGGACGTGGTCAGAAGAAACTGCGGAATTAAGATGTCCAGCCGACTCTTAGACCACACATGGAATTGCGATATTTTGTCCTGCGGACGACAAGCCGACCCCGATAAAGAGTGCGGATACAGTTCTAAGAGGGCCAGTTACAGAAGGTACTGCATCCCCATGTGGTGTACATTTTTCAAATAATGGCGTTCATCCTTTCAAATTTGGCGGTGAACGAAATCAAATGGTTAACGTGTTGTTGCAATTGGCATGTTGGAAGAAAACCTATCCAATTTCCTCCGGGCTAGGGTTGTCTGATGGTCATCTCACAGTTTGACTCCGTTATACACTATTTGCTAAGCACACGTGTGCCAGATGCAGACTTATCAAACGACTACTCGGTGTAATTTGAATTTTGCCAGCATAGATGCAGCTGACTCGAACATGTATCTGCAGAAAGGGGTGTGAAGGAAACTATGAAGACTATGACTGCTACTGTCTTCTGAACTAGGGCCTCTATACTGGTTCAGAAACAATGCATGATATTGGTTGTTGATCAGGTGGCTGTTGATCTGTTCGCCGAGCTTGGCAATTGGCTTGCAAACGTTTCGTCACCATACGAGGAGACATCAGTGCACAGTTGGGTGCACACTGCGCACTGATGATGTCTCTTCGTATGGTGACGAAACGTTTGCAAGCCAATTGCCAAGCTCGGCGAACAGATCAACAGCCACCTGATCAACAACCAATATCATGCATTGTTTCTGAACCAGTATAGAGGCCCTAGTTCAGAAGACAGTAGCAGTCATAGTCTTCATAGTTTCCTTCACACCCCTTTCTGCAGATACATGTTCGAGTCAGCTGCATCTATAAGCCACCAATTTTACCACATTACCAATGCACGATATAGTTGTCTCCAATCACAGTGGCGCTCACGTAGTTACTATCTGTCTAGACTGTCTCGGTTTGGGAGTGAGTACCCCAAAATGACAATGGTAGGCTAGTACTATGTACAAACGAAGTCCACTCATACAACTTTCCACCTTAGGGCCTTCGCCCTAATACAGTGAATCATCAGTATCATTATTACTATTTCGGTTCGTGATAATGATATGGTTACCACGATACGATTGGTTGGAGAAGTTTCATACATCTTTAAAGTTGGAACAAAACAATGAGAATATGGAAATCGGTAGTTGCATGCATTTCGTATTGGTTCGTCAGTGTCGAAATACTAATAACTAGAGGAGTTAGGCACTTGGATAGGAGCTGATAGATCAATAATAAGATAGTCATGGAACTTGTACTGAGTCCAAGGTAGTGTCGGTATTGTATCGAGTTTTTTTTAATGCACCAGGAAAGCTTTAGTCGATTGGTTGTTACCACTTCGACGAACTTCAGAACATGCGAGTTCCGATTAAAAAGTAGAATAGCACGCGTTGCAGTCAAATCCAATTGGTGACCTGTGGCCAAGAGATGTCCATCAATCGATGACTCTGATGGCTGATGATCAGATAGACGTGTCGTGTTTTCATTGCTCTCTGATTTTGGACCCAGAGTAATAAGTGCTGCTTCATTCCGATGTCGATCAGTTCCGCCCGTGCACCTAGCTCCGCAGTTAAATGTGAACCGGTAAACACAGTGGCAGTTGGCTTCAATAGGTTAAACTCCCAGAACTGAATGTGTCGGTGAACCTTCGTCTGGATGAGAACCCAAACTTCAGCTGCGTTGTATATCATCTTCAGTGCTAAGATTAATCGTTAGCTTGGCTTAACGGTTGCAGTCAATTCAAGTGAATTTCGCTAGATATAGCATTCCTTGTTACAGAGTCATCGCCAAGTGATACTGTCTTCCGTCCGTCGCATCATTTAATGGGGCTTCCTTTTATCACCAGTATGTTTGTGATGCAATCTGGTGTGCAAGCACGATGTGAGGTGAGAACAAGCTCTGGTCAAAGTTGTCTCAGCTCCGTAGAGTTGAAACCGCAGAGATGCATCAAGTGAGCTGAACATGTAGCTGAACATGTAAACACTAACTTTGACGGACTCAGCTAGTTGCCTGAAATGAATATTTTTAAATATGGGAGGCTGCTGTCAACTTCCTCTTCGTGGGTTACGGCGAGATGTGGATAAATGCTACTGAGACCCTGAACAAATTCCACAGCCAATTCCTTGTTCGTACCAGTGAACAGTGGGTCGCAACAACCTGCCTGCGTTGGGTTAGCTAAGACGTGAGATCGCTCAGCTGGCCTTGAATCATGACGATAAGACAAGTACGATGATTTTGTCTAGTAAAATTCCCATAGCCATGTCACCATTTGCCCATAAAACGTATTCTGAAACTAGAGACCGATATTCTCAATGTACAGGGTATTAAAGTGCTCTGTTGAAATGACAATGCTCGCCATGGCCGAGTCAACAAGGTCAAAAGAATGTATAAAGTTTCAATGTTGAACAGCTTGTCGGTTTTAGATACCTGCAGATCGTCCCAACAATTCAACCAACTGGCTGGACCCACCAATCCAGCTGATGGGGAAATGCGGAATGCATAAATCTACCAAGATCTGGCATCTAACTGTGGTGTCCAAATTACCGACACGATTTATACTTTCCAATTCCCTAATGGGATATTGTTGTTTGTTATGAATGATGCGAGTGCCCGACGGCATTATTGTCACCCCTAGTCACCTCAATGAAAGTTCCGGTGCCTAGCTGCCATGCCACCAGAAGGAGGTACGAGGGCTGCGATACTGTCAGATTGCCCAAGCCTAGACAGGGAAAGTTGAGAGGCAGAGGTCGGGTTTGAACCACGGACCTTCCGGTCAGCAAATTCGCGCTCTAGCCACTTGAGCCATCTCGTCCCCACCTAATGAACGAAACCGTTTAAAAGGATTTGGAACGAGAATTCCGCTTCAGTAGTTTGAAAATGAAGAGAACAGTTTGGCTCTAATAAATGAAAATGAGAAAATATTCATCTCCTACTAATCTAAGTAAACTTGGAATGGATAAGTTATTCTTTGCAAAGGTAACCAAAAGGCACTGTGGAACAGAAACCCCGTATTGGATCCCTCAGGAATGTTCCTCATTGAAGGATGTTCCTAAATGCTGGTTAAAAAATCCGTTTACCGTTGAGGCCATTTGTGCGAAGCTGATCAATTCATGGACAAAACAAGCTCCCTAAAACAAATTCCTTCGAGGATGAAAATAGATTTCCATTAAAAATCCCTAAAGGAAATCAAACGTGTAGACAGAACTACCGGTTGTAAGTAAGAACTTGTTAGTCCTGAAGTCGACTTACCATATCGCCGCATATCAATCGGTTGCTGAGCCAAGTACTGCTCGAGACGACGTCGCAGACACAGTTCACCACCAAACTTCCCCGTCGTACCGTTGTCAGCCAACAAAAAATAATTATGATGGGGATCTAATGGAGCATCTTGACAGCCGGGTCTCCATCCTTGTGAATAGTAAGCACACGTATGCTGTGGGCGGTAGCGAGATTTAAAAAAAAAACTAATTCGAAAAATAGATAATTGTAGGTCAGAGTGCACAAGGGTGTAATTAGAAAAATCCGTCAAGCGTACGGCACATCCCAGAATGGATTCGGTTGACAACCTAGCAAAACCACCTTATAGAAAACTGCCGGTTTGCCGTGGGAAGGGTATGTGCAATCCCCAACAAGAAGAGGTGAAACTAGAAGATTTGTTCAACAATATTATTGTACTAAGCAGTGGCTACACTCAGGTCCGTTTCCACATCATACCCCATGGAGTGCGGGGTGTCTAACATCTCGTGTGAATGTGATGACTAGGAAAGCACATTTCGTCACCAACTGAGCGGAAAAGCACTGCATGGGGGATAACAAGTGATCTCCAAATCTCTTAGTCAGTTGACTACCATCGTGTTCACAAAAAGCTACAGACACAAACAGATAATGTCAATTTCTCTTACAGAAGGATAACAGATGAAAATTTGACATAAGTCCAGCTATGCAAACTATGAGTTACTAACCCACAACACGTGACCACAAAAGTTATTCAAGGTTGAATAGCATTCTTCTGTTCAAAACGTTCAGAATGATACCTGGTGAATAAGGAAGCAAATCGAAGGCGCTAACAGTGACATGAGTCAAAAAATCGACAATCAAAGCTGCCAGTATGCTGCCGAACGTGCTACCCTAGAACATAAAAATCCAAGATGCAATGACATTCCAGTACACACACAGACATACCATTCACGAATGGCTGAGTGAAGATCGTACAAACTGAATCAATGGATAAGCATACTCTGGTTGCATACATCAAACGGGTGGCGGCAATAAGCTACACGTTCGGTTAGACGCTATGAGGTGGTGGGACATCGTAGTGTACGAGCCGCAACGATAATGACAAAACCACATTTTGCTCAGCAGTGGGTTGCCCTAAGAAATGCTGAACCCATTAAACGATATTCGTTAGACCTGCCCATAAGTTTGTGTGGCGGCATCTGAGATCTCAGCGCTGACAATGCCTAGGACAGGCGGTGCCCGGTGACGAGTATGCACGAGACATTAGGACGAAGGCTGAAGATGATAGGGCGTTTGCTCTGGTTAGTTGCGCGAAAGAAGATTGACTATGAACTCGAAGATCAAACGCCGCCACAAACTCAATTCGGTCACGATACCGGTTCACATCACTTGGCCTTTTTATTCGATATCATGTGCTGTCCCATGATCGCTCCCTCTCCTCCTTTAATCCATGTGGTGATTAACAACACGTTCAGAGTTGCTGGCGATTACCTGTTCACCTGCATGGCTAGTAACTTTGTGTCTTATATGTGAGGTTCCCAACATAAGAAGTCTAAAAACACTGGAATAACAGGTCTAAAAGCCACTATCATTGAAGTTTGTTTCAATACACGTACGGTCAAACCTCGCTGAAGAGACGAAAACTACCAAGAAGAGAAACAACGAACGCTTATAAGCACACGACTGGGGATGGTTAAAGTCAAGTTCGCATCGCAAAGTGTTGATCCTATTCAAATAAACCAACTTCTCGACTTAAGACATGCAATAAAATATCCAGTATTCGATACGGCATGAGAACAGGGCCTACGAAACGTGAATAGCCGATAATCAGAGAACGCCATGTCATTCAACCCTAAGGTCGTCAACTCATACTCAGCAAACGAAGGTCCACACAGCTTCGGAAGGTGTGTCAATTACGGGTTAATTTTACTTGTCCCGTAAAAACACGGGCAAGCCGCATCAGAAAATGACGAACAATCAGCGTGATGTGTATTGATTTGCGTGGAAGATATTACAGCTATTCAGATAATTGGTATAGGTTAACGGTTTAAGACGATACTCACACGTCCACTTTAATCTAATTTACACCTGCCAAAACTGCCTCCTCATGGAGACCGAAGTGTGACATTAGCTTAACCCGTTACTTTTCTTTGAAATTATCGGGTGACACCAGGTAACTTGGATCATTATCTGCCTTCAAACAAATCAACTCCAGTACGGCATGCAAGCTTCTTCGGACCATCCGAATCACCAACGACTCAAACGAAATACAAAATTTTCAAATCCTAACAAAGATGTGATGTCTACACGCGTCTGTTTGCACACCCAGATTCCACAATGGGGCTTTCAGTTCAGGATTTAACGCCGGAGTATTCACGAGTGTTACAACCCCTCTCAAACCACAATGATGTAGCAGCGATCGAGCTACAAGATGCAATCCTGCATGAATCTCGATAATCCCCCACCTACTCAGCGAGCCTTTCTTCGGATGCTGGCAGTGCACTCAACGGTCGTTTATATGATCCCTAACCCTCCACAAAAACGTGCGCTTAAGGTGTATTCGGAAAGGCTATGAAAAATCTCACTGATGGCAACCTTCCCAATGTGCTCTTGAAAGACGCCAGTCAAATGTGGTGTTTACCACGAAGACTAGAATAAGCGGGAATCCATAGCTATGGAACTTTGCAGCTACAGGTCATACCTCAGATTTTCACAGCTTTGGATGTTATCCCTCGTTCAAAATAAAGCAGACTGGAACACCCAACGCGTAAATCAGCAGCTTGAGAAAACCAGAGACGTTTCAAGTCACCAAATTCCACTTCTTGGTGGGTTCATGTAATTTTGCTTGGCGTGATAAGCAAGGCTTTGGGATCTGTAACATGCACGTTTAGGTCATTAGGAATAATAGTGTGAGCGTGCTGGAATTTTGGAATGTTCCGCTCAACTCCCTGACAGACAGCTGTGTGCAGTATGCTCCATTTTCAATGTCGCAGCAGTGTTCTTGTCTCCACCTTTTTCGACGCTGATTATCTTTCGAAGTTACAGCGACCCTCATTTATTAGCTACAGTGGTTCGAAAGCCCTCACATTGCATTTTTGAGGGACAAGCAAAAGTGCACAGTTTTGTTCGTACGCCCATTCAAACAGATGAGATCATATTGCACTACTATTTATTTATGAAGCTGTCAGTGGGATTCTTTCCCAAAAGGAAACGTCTCCTGGATGAGGAGGTCGAACACGTGACGTCGCCAGCATCCTACGGCTATTGTGCGGTCCGATTCGTTATAAAATCTAACAGACTTATTCCATTATTCCGAGTACTCATTTGGAATGTAGTCAAACAAATCTTTCCTTTTGTGGAGGAAGGCATGCTTAGGAAAGCCACTAAATGAGCAGCGTAAACAGAGAAACTTAGTCCCTTTGATTTTGTAATTTGGCAACGTGGGAAAAACTCCACGCAATTATATTTACACGTTCAACGCATTGGTAACGCACCCGAAGATGATACAACATACGGCCGAGACAACCCAAACAGACGAAATATTCCTTTGGTAGAGGCAGTTTAGATAGTTGAAAAGCAACAAAGGGGACAAATGAAGTACGTGAACACCAGTACAATTGTTTGCGGGTTCCTCGGAAGTTAAGAACAGCGCCCTTATGACTGTGGGGAATAACATTCCACACGAAAAGAATGTACGCGAGTGATACACACTATAAATCTGACAACTTGGTTTATCACATTTCTTGATGCCGGTCACGGTTATACCGGTTGACGAATCCACAAGTTTACAGTGACCATGTTTATCACATTTTACATATGGTCACTGACCACCACTGGATGGAATGCGGATGAGTGCACCTGTGAAATGGCACGGACAGAAGCCACATCACACTTGTATGAACAAGCTTTATTACAGGCTTTTTTAGCGCTAACAAGAGAAAAAATGAGTCCGGCTTTATTGAGAAGCACAAGCGCCCTCGTACGAATGATTTCTGTGAAAATGGTGATAAGTTGTGAAGAGCCGTATCTTATGAATAGTGGGGATAAATCTTGCATGGACAACCTACACTAATCGAGTCTCACGATTTCTCCATTTATGGATAAAACGTTCTTCCATAGCTTTTTGATAACTTGATGAAATTTCGATGTGGAATGGAGCGAATACTCAATGACTAAGGCCATCAGCTACTGACGCATCAGCACAATGAACCTGGAACTGGTTCACTATGAATTAGCACTTGATATGTTATCCAACTGGACTCGAGTAGGTACCACCAAAATGACAATTACGGAGGTATACAGTCTAGTGAAACAGAAGACGGGTGTTATTATTTAAAGAACCAACTGGATTTGCGAAGACTTGCGTAGCTCAACCTTAATCCCAGTGTGGCCGGCCTTGCACGATTAACCCAATTCAAGCAGTGAAGATGGAGAAGGGTGCAGCACCAGTTTCGAGGATAACAGCTGTTTAGTTCAATGGTCAGGCTAGCGACGAAGCATGTTCGAAGTATGATTCCTCAGGATAAGAGTAAGCCTCTCATTTCGCGAGCCCAAAAGCTCGCTGTAAATTTTTCGAAGAGTCCTAATCAGTCGCGAGAGAAGCATGTTCAGTAAAGATATTTTTCGGGTGCGTGACATAGCTTCACCTCGTCACGCTTTTGCACGGCTATTGAAGTTCAGTGGAACCCCTTCGACCATTGCACGGACTGCACACGACTGATTTCTGAGACGTCCTTCATATCCAACGAAGTTATTACTCTTTCTTCGGAAAACGGAACGGAGAAATTTTCCGCGAATCATGGTTCATTCGCCCACACAGCTCTACATTAAAATCTCACCTACTATTTCGTCTACTCAACTTCACTGTTGATTATCCCATATGTTGTTGTGGTCGGCTGCCGGATTTCGTCCATCCGCAAAGTTTGCGTGGAACAGGAGAATTGCCAGGATTTCACTTGATGGGGCGGTAGCAAAGTTAAGGGAAAAGTCATAAAGTTTCTCAGAAAACACCGAGACAGCTGTTGCCGGACGAACTACTGCGGATAGGCTATTCTTCTACGAAAAGATATACGTGCCTCTGAAAGCGCTTGGCTGTCAGCTGATCACGATAGCGTTCTCGCTGCCAGTTTCCGTCCAGAGTACAGAATGAGTGCAACGAGGTATATGAACCACTGGATATTTGAGTAAACTATGATT